CCATGCTAGGAAGCTGGTCGCCAGCTTTCTGACTTACCAAAAGAGTTGTGCCTTCCATTCGAAAATTACTTGACAGTAGGATTCGGCTGCCAGCCACAACTTCGCTTCAAACTATCTGAGTTGGACAAAGGAGATCTAAATGATAGATCAGTTGTTATGTCCCTTCAGAAACTCCTTGATATGAGTGAAGATAAGACTTGCAATGGATTTTTGGACAAGCCTAATTCTTCTCACTTGCAATAATGATAGGTCCTACGAAAAGTCATCTTACTTCACGAAATTGATCAAGGTACATGAATATTGTCTCGAGTATGATGATACATCGATAAGGGAGATAGCTCTCTCTTCATGGAATGCCGTGACATACAGCTTGTGCCAAGAAGCTTTTAAACCTATCAAGGGTCCTAAATCACCTACCAAAGAAAAGTACGATCCTATTGCAAATAGTACAAAAATGGCGATCTTACTTAGACCACTAACAAACCTAAATGTTGCGGATGATAAGATAGCGTTCAATGCTTTGCATAATATCTATATGGGCATCATTTACACGTTGGGTAATCCAATTGAGCCTCTACCAATACATTTTGCTCAAGAGTTTTGGAAACAGATTATTCATGATGTCTGCATACCACTTTATTATGGGAAGGATAGTACACAAGGGAGACAACAATACGGAATAAAGTTGATCAAGAGGCTTCTTAACCTGAATGCAGCTGGCGTTCCCAAGTCTTTAGACGACATGAGATGTTTGTCGACAGAGCCCGTTTTTTTTACGGAAATTCGTCCGTTGTGTAGGCAAACTATCCACGGCAGTGCTGATATAATTCTTCCTACCTTACGAGCCATATCCGAGACAGCTCCAATGCAAGCATTAGAAGCGCTTGGTACGGTTTTGGATTCTATCAAACCAATATTGAGAAAAGAAGTACGAATCTCGAATGCCACAATGGGGTACTTGAGCTCGATCCTAAACACCGCATCCCACTTTGTGCACCAGGACCCACTGTATTTCTTTACAACAAAGCTCATTCGTGTTCTTATACTGAACTTTGACATTAAGTTACTCAAGTCTATCAAAAAGGACGACGGCACTGTGAACGTATTTCATCATATTATTAGCACATGTGAAGGCTTATTGCCTGAAGAAGATGTTGTTGCATTGGTCGATTATATTACTCAGCTTGCAGGTGAAGATGCCGTGGAAATTAATGAAGAACGGCCCGATGAAAGTCTAGAAGTTTTAAACAAAAAGCTTTCGGAAATAACACTCTTCAGCGAAATGTTGAAGAATCGTCATGACGACTGCGACGAACTCGTTCAAAAGGTAATTGCTAATCTTACTACCATTACAGAGGAAAGTCGCGAACAAGCACTAGAGGCAAGCAATATTGGCTCGTGGACTATAGCGGCTTTCAAAGCATATTTAAAAGCTGTTCAGAAAAGTGAGCATGATCATCTTCGAAAGTCAATTCCCAATTTAATTTGCAACAAGTTAAGCGACAATAATACTTTCTTGGAGCTTACACAGTTCCTCGTTCAGGAAAAGTTCGTGAAGGAAGTATTTGAGATTAGAGAAGAATTCTTGACAAAGTCTTCTTTTTTGAAAGGGTTTTTGCTCTTTGATTTCAAACAGAAAGTGAAGGGTCTCCTCTCTCATATTTCCGATTCGGAAGACATTCAGATGCTTGACGAAATGCTTGTTACATGTTACAACCACAAACATGACATTAAACCTTATATCAAAAATCGGTGGACCATGTTACCCAAACTCAAGGAAACGTGGTTGCAAGATCACGACGAACTATACCGTGAGACGCCTAGCTCCAGTAATACCCCTGTCAAGGAAGAGTTGGCGAAAAGTAGTCCACTGTCTTCGATCTCTGCACGGGGCTCTAAAAAGTCGAAGAGTCCAATGGGACAAATCAAGATTACAAGGTCGCGATACACTGATAGCTATGTTTCTGCTGCTACTTCTCCGCTTCCCCAAACTTCAGCATCACCACTCCGCCAAGTTTCTGCACTTCCCCAAGCTTCAGCATCGCTGCCTCCTCAAGCCACACTCATTCCATCACCCTGCTACACAACCATCTCCGAGATATCACCAATTCCAACACCCACAAGGACTCTCAAGAGAGAAAGCCCAGAGCATGGTTCAGAAAAAAATGATAGAAAGCGGATAAGAACTCCAGTTCCGGACCGGCTGCGAAAAATGAGAGCTCAAGTCAACCAACCACTATTCACCACAAAAATTGGCCGAATTGGAAACAAAGCTCCATCGAGTTCTCCGGTATGCCCCATTGGTGATCTTGAAGACACTAGTAGGTTCCAGCTTTGAGTCGTAAACTCATCGACCTCATGTATAAACTTCGTCAACCACGCTGCTAGGTATAGTTATATATCAGTACCCCAATGTGAGGATGTGTGCGGGTGATAACATCCGTGACAAGGTAGTGCATTTTATGGCTAGAAACATTTCCACGTATGTCTATTGGTTCCTTATACCGAATCAATAAAATAGGTGCTACACGATCCTTATCGTGGCCTACTAGTTCTCCACAATAACCAGAATAATTCCATCGAGCTTGTCACAACTCTGCGGGCAGACAAGAATGATTTTGCAGATCAATCCAGAAGCTCAGAATTGACGTGTCCTAATTGTGGATTCAATTGGGAGCCGTCGTCTTCATCAAGACGTCACTCGAATAATCGAGACCCCCAAACACAAAATACGGATATTCGTTTGCTGCGTCCCACTTTGTCTGGGGTAACTCAAGTTTCTTCAGCTTTCATGGATCATGATTATTTCAAGTTGTTGGAAAAACTACCCTACAAGGCAATGCCAATTGCGGATGATGAGCCATCTGTGGCATCTTTGCCTGATGATGTGTTTAATCAAGGTTATTTCAAGCGATTTTTCAAGCAAGTTCCACCCTATACTTTGGGACTGGGAGCTCATGCCCAGGTTTACAAAGTTATACATGTACTCAATGACATCGTGCTAGGAACGTATGCTGTCAAGCGAATTAGTATGGGAAACCAACTAAAGTATTTGGAAGAGGTTTTAAACGAAGTACTCATCTTGTACGAATTATCAGTGAAAGGAGCATACGAGCATAATTTGATCAGATATAACCATGTGTGGCTAGAAATGGGTGATATGGATGATCTGCAGACGTTTTTTCTTCCATCTGATGCCCGCACAAATTTAGGCACTTCCAGTCCAAAGGTTCCCTATGTCTTTATCTTGCAACAATATTGCGATGGTGGACATCTTGAAAAACTCATGAAACAGCATTTTCAGCAAGAATATGAACTGACGGCAAAACAGCGAGTAGATAGAGAAAGAGCTCGTCGAAGAAGTATTCGTGATGGTATAAAGGAACCTACCACAAAGAACAAGCTGTGGCTTTCAGAACTCGAGATTTGGAAATTCTTCAAAGATATTTCGACTGCTGTAAATTATCTCCACCACCACAATATTCTTCACCGTGATTTGAAACCATCAAACTGCTTGCTAGACACAAAATATGATCCAGGAAATACCACTGTCCCAGTACTACTTTCGCACGAAGAGATGGAAAGTTATTGTGATTCACTTCCCAAGATCTTGGTGTCTGACTTTGGCGAAGGAAAGTTTATAAACAAGCATGATGTGACCGAAGATAAGCTTCGTTTTCAAGACGAGGAACGCAGAGGAAATACCGGAACTTTGGAATTCACAGCACCCGAGCTATGGCTATTCACGAATTACGACCCAGAAGTTATTAAAAACAGCCCAGACGTCAGCAAGGCTCCTCCCCGGCACACGTATGAGAGTGATATATATTCTTTGGGACTTATCTTGTGTTGGTTATGCGTGGGACAGCTTCCTTTTTCACATCTCATTGAGCAAGAGACCGATCCACAAATTATTCGTCAAAAGATTCTCGATTGGTACTATTCCTTAACAAGTGAGACATTTTACCAGTGGTTTCAAGCAAACGCCAAACTTGAACCTTCGGGATGTTTGAATGATTTTGCAGTGCTTGTGTATGCGATGATCAAGGATAGTGAAAAAGAAGAGACCCCGTCCAGAATGATATCTTCTGATGTGCTCAAATATCTCGAAGCCATGAAGCGAGAATGGTTCTTAGCCCCAGATTCAAGGACAATCGAGAGTGACGACGAAATAAGCGACGACGACCAGATCCACGATTTGACCATGAAAGAAGTTGGCAGTATATCACAGCGCAAGTCTACGCTCAGAGTACCATATTTGGGACCATTCAGCTACATCATAGACATTTTGCTACTTCAAGCATTATGTTTGGTTCGACCTCATTTTATCATCACCACTACTACACTACTAGTGGTAATATTTCTAGGCATGGAAGTCGCTACAACTTTCAATTTAGCATTTAAGAAGTTGATGCAATGGCTCAGTATACTCGTTACAACAGCTGTTGCTATATATGTGAGTAGTAGTACGAATATATACTGACTTCTTCTTTTTACTCTGCTGAAGTCACCTGACTAAATTTTTCGATGCCTCTCAATTATCACCAAATAATTTGTTTCACCAATGGGAAATAAACGCAAGAAGGAGAATGGCAAGAACTCCAAGCCAAGTACGACCAAACCAGGCTTCGTAGAGTCAAAAAATAACTACGATGTGCTATCCTCAGACTCTGACTCGAGTGCAATATTTGACCATAATCGTAAGGACGAGAACCTTGTACTCGTAGATTCCTCAGATGACGACATTGTTGTCGAGTCTGATAGCGAGAATGACGAGAATAATAGTGAAACCGATACTAAAAAACGAAAAGTTGATAGTGACAACCACCAACCAGCATCAAAAAAACGCAAGATGGAGTATAATGAACTTTCCAAGAACCAAGATTTTATAGAGTTCGGGTTCAGTTCGTCCGAGGAAGAAGCGAACAAGTACGACGACTACTCAGATGACGGCATTATCAGCGACGATCAAAGTGGAAATCGACATATTGCCAAAGAACCTTCGTCTTTATATCCATGGATCAAGAACCAAGATCATTCCAAGCAACAAGAAATCGCCGATTGGCTCACATTAGAAATCAAGGACTTTGTCAACTATATTTCGCCTTCCAAACTAGAGATAACTACACGGAACAACGTCATAGGACGACTAAAATCTACCATAACCAAGTTTTGGCCCGACACTGAAGTTCATGTATTTGGTTCCAGTGCCACAGATTTGTATCTTCCTGGCTCCGATATAGATATGGTGGTTATCTCCAGGGATGGAGACAGAGAGCAGCGGTCTCGTCTTTACCAGCTTTCAACACATTTGCGTAGCAAAAAGTTAGCAAAGAACATCGAGGTGATCGCCAAAGCAAAGGTTCCTATCGTTAAATTTGTCGATCCTGACTCCAACATTCACATTGATGTTTCTTTTGAAAGAAGCAATGGTATAGATGCTGCAATTAAAATCAGAGAATGGTTAGCTTCCACCCCGGGACTTCGTGAATTGGTGCTAGTTGTGAAGCAATTTCTACGCTCGCGGAGGCTCAATAATGTTCACGTTGGTGGTCTTGGGGGTTATTCCACCATCATTCTTTGCTATCATTTTCTCAAATTGCATCCAAGAGTCGCCACAGAGAACATGAGCATACTAGACAACTTGGGTTCTCTCTTAATTGAGTTTTTTGAATTGTATGGCAGAAACTTTTCATACGACAACTTGATACTAGCCATTGACTCGAGAACCGATATGCCAAAATACTTGTTGAAGAGACATTATCCAGAACTCAATGCTTCAAAGAATCCATTCTCGATCGTTATCCAGGACCCCTCTGACCCATCGAACAACATATCTCGTTCATCTTACAATCTTCGTGATGTAAAAAAGGCATTTGGCGGAGCTTATCAGATTCTCATCGACAAATGCTACGAACTACACAGTGCTACTTATAGAGCACGTATTGGTCAGTCAATATTAGGAGACATAATCAAGTATAAAGGAAAGGAAAGAGACTTTAATGACGAAAGACATATGGTGGTCAACCAAGCAATGGTGACCGATGATCCTACACCAGCCATTACCGATGATGAAAGTGACGGGCACAATGGCAATGATAAGTACTATTTTTCAGACATGACTGTCGATAGTGAAGATGATACCTTTACCGCTAATAAGAAGGAGGTCCTGGCCAAAGATAACGAAGAGAAGATATCTGGGTTATTGGGTATTAAGAATGAAAACGAAGCAGATGAGGTATCAGAAACGAATGAAGATGACAAGCAAAAGAGCAATTTGGACAAGAACATCAAGAGGGACTACTGGAGACAAAAGGGACTTGAATTGTAATATTAGATGTAGATATTAGTAAAGTCAATGATAGATAGTCAGACAAAAATAACTATTGGCACGTATGGGCAATCTATGGCATGGCAGCTATGACAAGCTTTGACTTTGGCAAGCTATGTCTTTGATAAGCTATGACTTTGACAAGCTATGACCTTGACAAGTATGACAAGCGGTTGTCTCAGCAGCACTTGCTACTAGACACACTTGACAAAGTAATTCTCTGTCGGCCATCGGTTTGGTCATGTGCTTCATGGAAGAAAGAATCGTCAATCTTATCTACAATATATGTGAAAAGCTCGGTGACACCCTTTCCATCTTTGGCACTGCATTGGAATAGCTGAAGTTGATGTTCCTCACAATAAGCTTCTATGGTTGCTAGCTCATTTGAATCGCTTTCCTTGTACATATCGCTCTTATTTCCCACGACAATGACTTTCTTTTCTGTTTCTGATGAATTTAGTTCCATTTGGTCAACCCAATATCGAACTCGCTCAAACGAACTTTGTATATCTGACATATCAAAGCACACCAAAGCAACTCTGGCACTGCGATAATACATGGGTGTGAGCGATCTGTACCGTTCCTGACCAGCGGTGTCCCATATCTCTAGTTTTACATGACGATTTGGGTCGTTTGAAAGTGGGAAATTCTTGGTTATAAATGCTGCTCCAATGGTATTCGCCGTGTTTTCATTGAACGAGCCGTTTGTAAAACGATGTACAAGGGAGGTTTTCCCTACAGACGAGTCTCCAAGAAGAACTATCTTGTAACCTGGAGAAGGTACCATTAGGTGTAATCGCAACTGAGAGTGGCAAGAAGAGATTACGAAAGCCACTGGTATAACCTCGCACCCGCCTGTTTTCTTCAGCAATGGCTCTGTGGCCGAGTGGTTTAAGGCGGCAGACTCAAGTTCTGTTATCGTAAAGATGCACGCGTTCGAATCGCGTCGGAGTCATTATTTTTTGCAATCTATACCGAGTTTCCCGTTTAATACGGAAACCCGCACTACTTTTTTCAATATTCTACATCCTTTTCTGAGTACATTTTATGACTATTGACCAAATGCTCCCGAAAATTGGGAGTTTCCACCTGCTTGTTGGTACTCCATCATGAATTCTTCCAACACACCAAAAGCCGCCGACACTCCAATTATAGTACCCACGCCTTTTCCAGCACCTCCAAGCACCTCTCCAGCTACAGCAATTAGGCCCAAGACGGTAGCTCCACTTACAGAAGCGACGGGAATAACTCTGGACAATTCTTTGGTGATAGAAATGTCTCTTTTACCAGCAATTGAAATACCTTGTTCCTTGAATTGCTTCGAGATATCCTTTGGCGATGAACCAGAAATGGAACTCCAGATGTTGGCAAACCAAGCAGACAATACGATCACCACAAATGTGAAGGCAGCGGTCTTGAGTGGAGAAACGAGAGTGTTGAGAATCGAGGTTGGTGGAGACAAAAAGTACAAGATTCCCGATGAAACTTTCAAGTTGGACGATCTGTAGTCGATGGTCCATTTTCCAATCACAGAAGAAGCCACTGGGCTGTAGCTTTCCAACAATTGCGACGCAATGTAGCCCAAAACTTGCAAATTGGTCAACACGGTGTAGGCGAAAGCAAGTGGAAGGGCACCAGTGTACAATAAACGAATGGGGAAAACATTGTTCATGCCTCTGGCTCTGGTTGAGCGAATGGGTAACTCGATTCTAAAGTTTTGTAAAGCCACAACCACCAAAAGAGTAACAATGGTGATGTAAACCTGGGTCAAATTAGGAAGATGTTCTCTGTTGAACGAGTTGTAAATATTCTTTCCCAAAGTTTTAAAGCTGAAACTTCTGATAAGGTTCATTAAAGCTCCCACGCTTTCAAACTTGTTGGAGTTGGCCAATTTGACCACTTCCAAACCAATGATATTTTTCACCAAATCGCTAGCAGCTTGAAGGGCAATGAAACATAAGATACCGCTGCCAAATCCATAACCTTTATCAAACACTTCCACAAGTAAAGTCATCACAGCAGACATAACGAACACCTGCAAGAAGATAAACACATAGGTGGTGACTGGAAATGAGTCTTCGAAGCCGGTTTGGTTTCTCAATGCTGGGGCAAAATATCCACTAGCAATCAAACCTGCGGTATAAACAATACCCAAGATGAAACTGGTCAATTTCTGGCCAGTTTGAAACAATTCACGCTCGGAACGAAGCGACAAGTTCACTTTGACCAACCGTAACCCGGCGGCAAGCTGCCACAAGAATGCCGAAGTCATCACGGGAAGCAATCCCAACTCCAACAATGTTCCCTTTTCCATGGCGAAAACCGACCTAAAGAGGTAGAACGGATCTCGAATGTTCATGGCGGCGTCGGGACCCAAGCCATAGAGAGGCAATTGTCCGAAGAGGAAAATGATTCCGCTGGCAACGGTGAAAACAATCTTTTCGTCCAAGGTGACGCTCTCATCTGGAAGTTCCACTTCTGGAAGAAGAGGAAGAAAGAACTTTACCAAGTCTAAAAGGCGAACTGAGTTAGTTTTTGTGGTGCAAATACGTGGGGAATACACTTACATCCAGCCATGGTGATAATGAACGGCGGTGAACTTTCGGTGAAAACTCGACGAGGCGTCACGTGATCGAGATAGGCGATACGCCGCTGGAGTAAGAATCGATTTAAAGAATAATTGTGTGTATAATTACAGTGTATAGTTGTTTGTGTAGAATTGTTGGTATTTGTTTTCCTACAGTTTACTCAAACTTGACTGACATTTCAACCGCAGCAGCTCCCCAATCTTCACCGTGGTTGTGCATCTTGCCCTCAATGAGTCCGGCTCTTGCCTCAGCTTGCTCATCAGTAAGACAAGTCAAAACACCAAAGATCACAGGAAGTCCAAGATCGAAGTTGAGTCTCATCAATTGGTGAGTAACAGAATCACAGATGTACTCAAAGTGCATGGTGGAACCTTTGATGAGAACACCAATAGGAATAACCGCATCCAATGGTTTTCCCAATTTTTCGTACTTGTCAACGAATTTCTTGGTTCCGAAAGGCAATTCGAACGAGCCGGGAACAGACTCTATAATGATGTTCTCTTCCGAAACGTTGAGCAGCTTCAATTTTTCAACAGCTCCTTTCACCAAATTGTCGATAATTGTTTTGTTCCAACGGGCATGGAGAATTCCAATACGAAGCTTGGAGCCTGTGTTAGTAGGAATCCGAAAATGTAATACCCAAATATAAACATACCATCGTAAGTTTTGTCTACTGAACCCAATCCTTTAACTGCCATGATTACCGATGTCGCACCGACCGTCGTATTTGTACTTATAGTGTGCATATAACCGACCAGAACGGCCGTCACCAAATGAAGACTGAAGGCTTGAAATGCATACTTTGAAACACTATGGTGATTACTATCAATTAGACAAAACTCGTAAGCTAAAATACATGTCGAAAAGTGTATTGCAATAACATGTGAATTTGCAGCCATTTATACTGATCTGCTCAAGTTCAATTATCAGTGATGTATGTAACAGCCTGAAGCAGCGGTGCTTGTGTTTAGTCTCCTGTTCAACGTATTTCAAGATATTTCTTGTATTTTTTTATAGAACTCTTCTGATTATTCATTACTGCAAAATGGGAGCCATATAGTTACTCTATAGGAGGATTGCAGCCTTTTATGGAGCCCAGATTTTGTAGAACAACTTGGCAAATGATGTTTCGTAAGATGCAACTACTTAAAAATATCAAATTTTGCAGATTCTCAACAATTCAAATTTCATCATTTACTGTGCGAATTTAGCGAAAATGTTGAGAATCGTAAAGTAGAGATTGCTGAATGTACAATAATAAGCCACTGCTCTTTTTTCACGAGATGAAGTCTTGATAAGCAGAAGGAGGCAATATAGGAGATCTCACGTAAGTGTGTGGTTCTGTCATATGAGCTTGACGAGGTGTTCCGGTGTATACCGTGCACTTTACTGATACATACTTTCACTTGCATATCACAACAGTCGATGTCACGCATATGTTAGAGCAAAGGTCCGACTTTATAAAAGCCTTTGTATCAATAGCTCAAACTATGAGTTTGAATATAACTGAAGACGCAGAAAAACAATATCTTTACTGGGCCGCCTCGCAACCTGGAAATACATACCAACTTGTTGATTTTGGTGACGACGATTATCATATAAAAATCAAGGCTTGTTACGAAAACGGCACCGTTCACGATTCTATTAGTCTAGAAGCTTATGATAATGCAACCAAATGGCTCAATGAATTAGACGAATCGAATTTTGCATGCCCTATTGATAGCGGTAATTCTTCGAATCATGGCTGCCAAAATGATTCAGAGACTTCCTAATAATTCGAATATATGAGCACCACAGTAAATTGAGAGTTCCATAGATAACAATTGTTTGTTCTGTAAGTTGCAGCCTCTGTCAGGCATATAACTTCTTTTAATGGCACCCAATGCACCTATGAATACTAGGCGCCAGTCTCGAAAATTTTCTTCATGAAAAAGTAAGTACGATGAGGATATCTTCTTAGCCGAAAAAGATGAGGATATAAATTTCGAAATTAGTCTTTCACCCCTATCTGAGTACTAACCCAGCAATTGACCTGTGACACTCGTATGACGTGACATATTGAATGCAATGAACATCTGAGAATGGTATTCATTTATTACGGCAATTGGGTCACAAAAGCTGAGCTATTCCTTACCAAAGGTACCTGCTAGCTATAAGTGCCTGCCATATTGCCTGAGGATATCAGCGTTCTTTAGACTCGACATTTTTCTGATTTTTTAGGGTATCTCTCAGCGATACACTACGTTGTAGACCCAACTCTAACCGCACACAATCTTCTTGTCAGTCGATAATCTAGGATTGAACTGTCATTCAGGCAAAGTTGTGATCATTTATGGTTGTCTAAAGGCCAAAATCGACAAGTTCGACGATCACCCTAAGCCAAAGTTTCACGGATACATAAAACCAAATTTGGAGTAATCGTATAAGTTCTTCAATTACATTCACTCAAGCCAAAAAAGGTTTCTCAAAAAGTTCTCAACAAAATTCCCCTCATGATCTATTGTGTACTCTCTTTAGTCGTAGTTGCACCCCAACGATCTCGGCTACGGACTTATCCCCACCATCACGTGATCTTATCAACAAATCTGGCTTATGTAAACTGCGGATACGGATTCGGATGACTGAAAGGCAACAGCTCTTCTTTCTTTTAAATCACTTTTAGGATAAGATAGGAAGATAACGACTTGACAGTGTTTTCTGGGACCTACTAATATCATCCTGTACAGCACACTACTGGAAACAATAATATTACAAATTTAATCCATACATCCACAATTTGATATGGCGTTTAACCCCAATTATCAAACGGGACAACGGGGCTCTATTCGCCGTCAGGTGGCCACCTTGAACTCTGAGGGATCTTTGGATGCCAACTCTGCTTACGAGCGAGAAAATTCTATACTCTCTGACTCCGAGGCGTCACTGTGGGTATTGTTTAACCCCACCGAGGGGTCGGATATTTTACTGTTGAGCAACGGAACAGTCGAGGAAAGTGACGAGGAGAGTGAAAGTGGTAATGAGATAGATCCTGAAGACTCGCTTATTGACGATTTTGCTCCGTTACCGTCACAATCACGTCTTGAGCGTCTTTTTACTCACCAGAAACAGCCACAGTCGAGTCGCCTAGATCAGCGCATCGACCAGTGGCGCAACGATCACTGCGAATCCGAGCTCGTGGACGATAATACCGCGTCATGGGACTTGGACGAGAACTTACAGTCGGAACTCCGGTCGGAAACTACGTCTACACACACCATTACTCCGGATGAGCCGCCAAATACGAGGCCGTTTTATGGCGACGATCTTGTGCGCAACATGTCGAGAAGACAGTTTCGCAAAGTGAAGCGAACCGCAGGACGATTGGCGCCTAATTTGACGAGAGAGCAGCAACAGGGCAGGTTACCACAGTTGCTCGACCAACTCATATCTCGGCTCTTACGGTCGCCGGAGTTTGGCTTGGAGTTTAATCTCCAAAACCATTCGTACCAGCTGCTCATTGAGACGATGCTTGAGCATCCGCCACGGCCCCGGGTGGGTCCTGCGACAGTGGAGTACTCCGACACTGCCAGCTCGTCCTCGATGGTTCTCTGTGGAGGCTCATGGGGCGATATATAGCATAATGTAGATACGAGAAGCTTGGAATGATGTCCGTTAATTATACGCTACGAACCCGCGATACAAGGAGTACACTTGCATGACTGTCAAAGGGCTTGCCTTCATTATCGCTTTAAAGTATTCCTAAATGCGGTACGGCTGGCTCGGTGTACGGGTGTGGCTGGTCGCGTGTTTAAACACGCGAAGGCAACCAACTTATACATCACAATGTTCAAATCATCAATCTTAACATCTGCTCGTTCTTTTTCGTCGTCAGCCACCAGAAATGCGTTTGCCAAGATGCAATTGCTCGGAACAGTAGGCAGCGTCAATACTCGTGAAACTAAAGATGGTTTGCAATTTATCAACTACTCGTTGGCCGTTAACAGATATAGTCCAAGTGAAGCTGATAACCGTACAACCGATTGGTTCAATATTTCCGTGTTCAACGAGCGCCACATTGAATTTTTCAACAATTATTTGAAACCGGGAATGCAATTGTACGTTGAGTGCGATGTTAGACAAAGGGTGTTGGAGGACGAGAATGGTGAGAACCGCCATCTGGTGACCAACTTGAGACAACTTAGCTACGATGTAGTTCGGTTTGCCAAGAGAGAGGAAGAGTCCGAATCGTGATAGTTAGTAGATATGATAATTGATACCCTACTTGATATAACACCTTTAACTACCCAATCTCTCTCTCTACTCAACTTTCACCTTGGCAGATGCCATTTCCCAGGCATAACCCAATGTAAGTTTGACATGTTCTGTTACGTGGTCCCAGTCAATACGGTCAATGGTGTCCATCACTGAATGAATGTAGTGACTGGAGTACTTGAATTCTGACTCGATGATGAACGAAGCAGGGTACCCATTTTCAAGCGCAGAAGCATGGTCCGAGCAGGCGTAACCACATTCGGTTTCGTGGTACGGAATGGCACAGTACTCGCCAATAATCATCTTTAGAAACTCGTTAAGACTAGGAGTGGTGTAGTCCATAATCAACCCAAGATGCTGTTCCACACCCAGTTCGGACATGCCCGCACTGTAACCGGTCATATCCTGCTGAAGCATAGCGATAACCGTCTCCTTGTTAGCATGGTACCTGCTAAACACATCAATTGAGCCCAAAAGTCCACCTTCTTCAGCAGAGTAAAAGTGGAACTCAAGAGTGTTATAAGGCACAAAGGTACCATCCACATAATAGTCCATCAATATACGCAACGCTTCCAACGTAGTTACTGTTCCTGACCCATCGTCATCTGCACCAGGAGCCTTTAAAAGATTGGGTAAAAGCAAGTTGGCTGAATCCTGGTGAGCACCTACAACAACCTTGGAATCAGTAATGCCAGGAATGCTAACGATGATTGAGTATTGATTCCAGCCGTCATGGTGGACCTGGGAAACCGTAACGTTCTTAGCTGGTTTGACAATTTCGTCAATATGACGTTCGAGCCACCGAGCACTCTCGTAGCCGGTATCCAGCTTGTAATATCTGGTATAAAAGGATGAAAATTTGGAAAGAAGATCATACATACGTTCGGTATCGATTTTCTTGAGTGCCTTCTTGATCGTCTTGGAATGGGAAACACTGGTGGGGTACTTGTAATTAGGAATCTCCGTTTTCAACGAGTCGAGCTGTTTTGAACCAAAATATAAAGCATTATTCCACCAATGTTTGGGAGCCACTGCCTCCACCATGCCATTTTCGATGGCCTCTTGGACGGAAATTTGATTTGTAACGTCAATAAAGTTGATTTTGGAACGCTTCAATTTCACCTTCTCCGACTCAGAAACTGCCTGGTAAGTATCTGGGCCAAGTTTGATCACACGAAGTTCATCCTGAGACCCTGTAAGAGAACTGAGCAAGGGAAAGGCATCCACAGCGAGAATTGTGAGCAAAAGTGCAGTAACTCTCATAGCAAGTGTGGAGGATAAATGACTGCCAGTCTTGTGCGGCCGATTATGCGGCACGGCTGCGAATTGTGTACAGGAACAGACAAAATGTTCCAGAGTAACAATTGTAATGAAAATTGGAGAGGAAGAGCTAGAGTAGAATGAGATAGTACTAAAACCATAATGGGGACGAATACGTATCGGAAAATGTGCCTAGAAATTGAAATAAGATATTTTGAAATAGAGTAATTCAAGTGAGGGAAATGGCTCTCTCACCAGTACACTTTTATTCACTATTTCTCGTCTTTTTTTCCATTTATCAACTCAATTCCTATCAATGAGCTCAACATATCTCATACTCCTCCTACACTCTCCTTTTTCCTCATCCTTTTTCTCCCTTCCTCTTCCTTCTCTAGCTCTCACCTCACCCAGTACACCCGCACCGATGAAATTTTTTTGTAAACACAAGCCATTTCAACTCCGTTCATCCACTGCCCCAACCATCTTCTCCAGCTCTGAGTTTCCGCGCCTCCCATGTCGAAGCTCATCTCTCCCACAATAAAGCTTGACGATGCCAACTTGCGCTCGCTTCAGCTTCAACAGGGTGAATCTTCGTCGTCGGCTCAGACGTCAAGAAGCGTGCTTTCACAACGATTTCTTCATCCTGTCAATGCAGGACCTGCCAAAGAGGCCAATTATAAGATCCACGTTCCAAACTTCTCGGAAATGCCTCCTTTGAAGCTCGGTTACAAATATATCACCAACCTTACCGAGATCGACTCCAACACTCCGTCCGATTTATATGCTGACGAATATATCAACAAGGCGGGTTCTGGCTTGGATAACTACTATTTCGACCCTTTGAATGGTCTTGGCGAGTTTTCTCGTTTCGAGAAAGAGTTACATCTTAATCTCCCAGACAAGTTCTTCGAGGAGCACAACTCATCTCAGACAAGCACCAAAATGGGCATGTTCCCCGAAGTCGATAGAGTGTGGATAGCGGTCGACAACAGACTTATACTCTGGAACTATAGGGCCCCGCAATCGTCCTTCAACAAACTGACTCAATTTCTCACCATAGATGCAATTAACAACACCATATTGACGGTGAAAATCGTCAGACCCAAACCGGGGATTTTCGTTGACGATGTCAAATACTTGCTTTTGGTAGCCACCACCATGGACATTCATATCTACATCCTAAACTACGATGAGAAATTCAACAATATGACCATATTTAACCCAGGTCTTAGTGTCTCGACCCATGGACTCATCGTCAACCAAATCATCGAAAACGACATCACTCATGATATTTACTTTACTGGTGAAGGTGATGGCGTGAATATCTGGAGATTAGACTACTCTAACAAAGGTTCCTTCACGAAAAACAAGTGTGATAAAGTATGCATGACAAAGTCTGGAATTTCGAGCGTTCTTCCAATATCAAGGCTTCCATTATTCGGATCAGATTCAACCTCTCAAAACGTCGAAGCTGCTAACGTCCCGGAAACAATTTGCCAGTTGGCCATAGACTCGTCCAAAAATATTCTTTACTCTTTGTCAACCAGATCTGTCATTAGAGTATACCAGTTACAAGCATCCCAAGAGCAATTCACTCAACTGAGCCATATAACTCCTCAAGAAATGTTCAAATCCATCTCAAACATGTTTGTGGACTCGGCAAACTTTAAAGCGTTTTCGAAATTCAGAATCGTTAGCATTGTACCTATTCTCGCACAAGAATCCGCAAACGTACAGTTGATTGCCGTCACTAACTACGGTTGCAGAATCTTGCTTCGCTTGGGCAACCGCTCAGCTTTTGCATCATACATTTCGAGCTTCAATTCCGGCTCAAAAATTAAGCTCTCGGTTGCTACATTGAAATTCCCTCCATCTAAAGAAACGCCAAAGCTCGACAATGAGCTCGATGCGTTCACAAAGTCAAAGCAGTATACCGCTCAGCTTATCGAGAACCAACAAAAATCCGAGTTATTGAAAAACACAAAGTTCAGCAAGATCCTTAGTCCTGGAATCTTCTTAGCGGTGAAGAAGACAAAACGGTCCGACAAACTTTTTGTCTGTACAACCAATTACGGTTTCTTGAAAAAAAACGGCAAGCTTGTTGAAGATGCAGAATACCTCAAATATGCAGCAGGCGATGAAAATAATGCATACCTGAATGAGAGCACATTGCCAACCTACATTCATGATATTGTTCAATTGACTCCTTCAATGAATGCCACAAACACACCTAATGGCTATGCAAACATCCCGGCTAGTCAGTATACCAAGAAACCAATGCAATTTGCTGTCTTGAGCAACTATGGAGTTACGATTTATCGCCAAAAGACTTCTGACCAAATAATAAAGAGTTTGCGTGAGGACACCATTGAGAATTTTATCGAAGAAAATGGCTTTGAGGAAACATGTCTGACGTTGTTGTACTTGTCGTGTGCATATGGAGCGGCAGCAGGATTCCAGAGTATCAACAGCTCTTACAAGAAGAAGGCACAAGCACTTTTCTCCACTTGTGGTAACAATGCTAGATTGTTGGAGCAAGCATCATTGCCGCAACTACAGCCATCGCTGGGCATTCCTCAACAACGACTTTCAAATGAAAAACCTCAACTAGACCACCCAACTGTTGAACAAGTCATATTGAGCGACCGCTTCTACGGAACATGTTTGTTAGTTTCGCGTCTTTTCAGAAATCACTGGAATGAAAAAGTGTTTGAGCCACTTCCACATATCAAGATCAACCCCGCGGGTCAGGTTGATGCATCCAGTATAAAGGATGATAACCTTCTTGTCAAGAATTTGAAGCTTAGTCGCAGCGAGATAGAGTTCTGCATTGGTTCTGTGGTGGTGATAATCAATTTCTTCGCAGAGAATGGTAATAGCATACATGGTCTTAGTGCTCCGAACTACAGTTCTGATCCTAGCAAATTCGAAAATGAAGTTTGTCTTCGGGCAGAGCATATTGCTTTCACTTCGATTTTGAAGTCTTTGAATTCTATCAAAGAATCGTTGTCTTTCTTATTGGTCTTGATCGATGAAACTCAGGGCGACGCGGCGAAATTCAGCGACATTATGAAGTATCTTTCTGTCTCCAATCAGCTCAACTTGTTGTCTTTGCTGTTGAAGGACTTGTTGCTTCCCAACACAGAAGTGAAAAATTTGATCAAAGACTTGTTATCTTGTGTCATCAACAAGAACATTCTCAAGGGCGGTTCTATTGACTTGATTGCATCATCTTTGCAGAGCTCTTGTGGATCTTTTTGTTCCACTGATGATGTCTTCATCTTCAAGGCAATTGAAAATTTGACCAGAGCCAAAAATGTTGGCTCAAGAGACAATGACTTGAAGAACAAGTGTCTTTATAACGCAGTGCTGTTATTTGAACGGGCTTATGACTCGCTTACGTTCGAAAATATCGAAAATTCGGTGAACAGCATGCTCGATCTTGAGTTCTACACGGGTACAGTCAAACTACTTTTGAAGTTGGCACATAATTTGGGCAATACCTCCCATCATCCTAGACTAGAGGTGGCTTCCGCCATGGCTGTCACCAATGATAATTCCATTAAACGTGCTGAAAACGAACAAAAAAGATTAAGATTATACGACTTGATTTTCAAGGTGCTCACTAGAATTGACTATGATGCAGCTCGTTGCAGAGAGGGTGGAGATCAGTTGAGAATCAATGAGATAACATCGGTTCGTGAAGCAACTTACGAGACATGTTTCGCTTCTCAGGACAAATCTTTCCACTACGAATTCTATCAGTGGTTTATCAACCAGAATTTGGGAGACCGTTTGTTGGACGTTAATTCTCCCTTCATTTTACCATTCTTAGAGGAAAAGTCGGAGAATAATCTCAGTTTGAGAAATTTGCTCTGGTTATATCATGCTAAAAGGGAAAACTACTATGCAGCAGCCAACATTTTATTTTCTTTGGCGATTTCTGAGTTCAAATTGGAGTTGAGCCAAAGAGTTGAATACTTGTCTCGTGCAATTGGATTTTGCAATTGTGTTTGTCCGCCCAACGTGAGGCAGAAAATGATCCATTTGTCATCTGTGGTTTTAGAGCTTTTTGATGTTGCAAACATCCAGCTCGATCTTCTTGCTGCCATCAAGGCTGACTTGCGTATTAGCAAAGATAACAAGGATTTGGCAACCCAAGCCCTAAATTTCAAGATTCTCAACATTAGCGAGCTTTTCAACAATTACACCGATCCATTGGGTTATTACAACCTTTCGTTGTTGATCTTTAAAGTATCAGATTACAAGAACAGCGATGACATACTCAAAAGATGGGAGCTTTTCTTTGAGCGGATCCTCCACGAATTCTTAACGGTGAAAGAAGCAAGAGTTGAACCTCTCTACATTACCATCACTAATTTATTCACACCCATTGGGTTGCAATTGTCTTCCAACGACACCGTGTTTCCGCTCGATGATTTAGTGAAGCTCATTTGCAAAACCATACGAAGTGCTATTGAGGAAGATTCCATAACCCAAACTCCTCCACGAGGAGCACTTGTGGATATGTTTCTCAAGTGTGGAGTCAAGTGCGACCGGCTCTACTACTCTTTCCAGTCGTTATTGGAGTACAACAGCTTTGAGGTTTATTCCGGGTTCACAGACTACTTGAAGAAGAGTGAAATGCCATACTTGATCAAGCGGTGGTATCAAACAGACAAGACATTGAAGGACGGCATCTCGGACGATAAGATTAGAAATCTCCAAGAGTATGCACTCGAGACTGATCCCGTGGCCCAATTTTTGAGAGAGACGAGTTAAATACGACGAATGCATTAAGATACTAAGTTAAATCATAAAACGTAGCCTTCTGGTTGTCCAACACTTCTCCTCCAAAAACGTTGCTGGAAGTGGGTCTGAGCGAGGCCCCGCCAGCATAAAGCTTGTCTAGTGGTTTCTGAGTAAGATGAGACACTATACCATCTACTATGAGGCTGGCGGCGTTGTGTTCTGCTCCACGAGGCATAATTACGTCCGCCATTTCCTTGGTTGGAAAAATGAAATCTTGCATTTCTTGTCGAGCACCTTTCAAGTAGCTGTAAATCACCGACTCCAAAGACGATTTTCCCTCCACCACATCTCTACGAATCCATCGTATGAGCCTCGTATCAGGGTCGCTGGACATGAAAACCTTGATCTGAGACATGTCTCTGAGCTCTTTATCGTAGAGAGCATAGAGACCATGAACAAAATATATCTTTTGCGAGCCAGATGGAATTCCGGACATGTCTTCCTTCAAGTCTTTCTTCAACTGTCCAATGTCGTACCTAGAGGGCTTTTTGACCAAGTTTCCCGTAGAATCTATGGCAATTGCAGAGTAAGAAGTAACGGCAGCTTGGTTGTCCTTTTCAGTGTTGTACTTTTCCATGTCCCAGATAGCTATTTCCATGCCCGCGTCTATCCAAGTGCTTTTGACTGTATCGCTGAGCATGTGTGCCATTGTACGTTTGCCGGAAGCGTGACCGCCGCCTATAAGGATCAAAACCGAAGACATGGTGACGAGTGATGAAGGTTTGTAAAGTTGTGTGAAAAAAGTTGTGATGAGGGTTTTTTGATAAGACTGGAATAGTCAGGTTGTTGGTGTGAACAAACTATAGTTCTTCGGCTTTTTAAGATAGCCAATTTATTCTTTTTGACTGTATCTCAGCTCGTTTATCTCACTAGATAATTTTCAAATCTCATCGCGAAGATCATCACAAGAGCACCATGGATTTTGATCGGGAACTAGACGAAGAACTAGAGTTTACCAAGCTGACCAAGAAGGTCAAGATATATCCCACGTTTGAAAGTATGAACTTGAAACCAGAACTTCTCAAGGGTATTTACAACTACGGTTTCGAGGCCCCATCGGCAATTCAGTCTCGAGCTATAATGCAAATAATTCGTGGTCGAGATACGATTGCCCAGGCTCAATCTGGAACCGGAAAGACAGCCACTTTCTCTATAGGAATATTATCGCTGATAGATACAAAATCCAAAGATTGTCAAGCATTGGTGCTTTCCCCGACCAGAGAGCTCGCCCAGCAGATTGAAAATGTTATCGAACATTTGGGAGATTATATGAACGTACGAAGTCATGCTTGTATTGGAGGCACCCAGGTGGGCGAAGATGTCAAAAAATTGCAACAAGGTCAACATATTATCAGTGGTACTCCAGGACGAGTTCTCGATATGATTAAGCGGAGGAATATCATGCCTCGACATGTAAAGATGCTTGTATTGGATGAAGCTGATGAGCTTTTGACCAAGGGGTTTAAAGAGCAGATCTATGAGATATACAAGACACTTCCGGCAGGAGCTCAAGTGGTGGTTGTAAGTGCTACACTTACGCCTGAAGTGTTGGAAATGACAAATAAGTTTACCTCGGATCCCGTAAAGATTTTGGTGAAACGAGACGATGTCACCTTGAAGGGCATCAAGCAGTACTATATTCAGTGTGAGAAGGAAGATTGGAAATTCGATACTCTTTGTGATTTATATGACAATCTCACCATCACCCAGGCGGTTATCTTTTGCAATACAAAAGCCAAAGTTAATTGGCTCGCCGGCCAGATGCGCAAGTCCAACTTCACAGTTGCCGCTATGCATGGAGATATGAAGCAGGAGGACAGAGATAGCATCATGAAAGAATTTCGTTCGGGTTCTACAAGAGTACTCATCTCCACCGATGTATGGGCCCGAGGAATCGATGTCCAACAAGTTTCGTTGGTAATTAACTATGATCTTCCCCTTGATAAGGAGAACTATGTGCATCGTATCGGACGTTCAGGAAGATTTGGAAGAAAGGGAACCGCTATTAACTTACTAACTAGCCAGGATAAGGATGAGCTCAAGCTGCTCCAACACTACTATTCAACAAAAATACGAGAAGTGCCCGCAGACCTTAGCAAAATTATGTGAATAGACAATTCGACACCAGCATTCAAGCCCGCTTACCTTTGTACCTTCATCTCTTCTTGTCATACATATATTCCAACCTTATACCCTTCGTCATTGTATGCACCGTGCAGGACCATCGCCAGATCTCATCACAAATTTTTTTTTCTTTGTAAACCATCAGCATGGACTCGTATGTCTCCCAGTTGGAGGACACATTAAAGCAGACCTTGGTCCCCGACTCGGTAGCCATCAAGCAGGCTTCCCAGCGGTTGTCCAAGGAGTTATACCCAAACGATTTGGCGCTTCCAGCGTTGATTCACATTTTACAAAATTCCTCCAACGACCAAATCAAACAGCTTGCCTCGGTTGAGGCTCGTAAGTTGGTGCTTTCCAAATGGGAGACCCTCGATGCTTCACAAAAGCCCCAAATCCGCGAGTCGATGTTGCAAAATACCTTCACTCAACCCTCGGCTCTCATCAGACATTCGTCGGCCCGAGTGGTGGCTGCAATTGGAGAAATTGATTTGGACAAGGGAGAGTGGCAGGAATTGTTGCCCAGCTTGGTCAAAGGGATCCAAGGTGGTGACGTTCAGACCAAGGAAATGGCAGTGTACACATTGTTCACTTTGTTAGAAACTCAAGTGGCTGCTTTGTTCCCTCATATCAATGACTTTTTGTCACTTTTCGGTAACCTCTTGACTGATATGTCTGCCAGTGTTCGTGTCAATGCCGTGTTGTCGTTGGACGTGATTTCGCAGCTTATCGAGCTGGACTTGAACGATGCTCTGGCTGCAAAATTCAAGTCATTGGTACCAGGAATGATGGATGTGTTAAAGCAAGTTATTAGCTCAGATGATGACGAACAGGCCAAGTTGGTGTTCAATGCCATCAACAACTTCCTTTATCTCGATTCCAGTTTGGTCGGTGACCATTTGATCAATTTGGTTCAACTCACAGGTGAGATCGCCGCCAATACTCAACTCGATGATGAATACAGAAGCTTTGGCTTGCAATTTTTGATTTCTTGCGTTTCCATGAGAAAGTCTAAACTCGTTTCTGCCAAAATAGGTCCTCAGATCACTTCGGTGGCTTGCAAGATTGCTTCGGAAGAAGTCGATGTTGACGAGGAATTAGGCACTGAAGACGACGAAAACGAAAACGAAGAAAACGTACCCTCATCTTTGGCATTGCGTTTGGTGGCCATGCTTGCTGCTGAAATGCCTCCTTCTCAGGTTCTTGTTCCTTTGTTTGAGAATCTTAATGGTATGTTGTCGTCTTCTAATCAGTTCGAAAGAAGAGCCGGTTTGTTGTGCTTGGGTGTTGGTAGTACCGGTGCTCCCGACTTCTACTTGTCTCAAATCAACAAGATTGTTCCTGCTTTGGTGAACGGGTTGAAAGATGAACAATGGATCGTCAAGGTTGCAGCATTGAGAACTTTATCGCAATTGACTACAGAATTGCAAGACGGTATTGCTGACTTCCACGAGGAATTGCTACCCTTGATCATTGCCAGTATCGACTCAGCTACATCTGTGCGTGCTTACAAGTATGCCTGTTTCGCATTGGACGGTTTGATTGAATTCATGAGTCATGAAGCTATTGCTCAGTACTTGGAGCCATTGATGAATAAGTTGTTCCACATGCTTCAACAGGCCAACAGCTCGACTTTGAAAGCTGCAATTGTGTCTGCCATTGGTTCCACTGCTTTTGCCGGCGGAAAGGCATTCACTCCATACTTTACCAATTCGGTCCAGTACTTGGAACCATTCATCGCTAATGCTGCTGAAACTGAGGGAATGTCTGAAGATGACATTGAGTTGAGAGCTTTGACTTTTGAAAACATCTCGACCATGGCCAGGGCTGTGGGTTCTCAGTCTTTTGCTTCTTACGCCAAGCCTTTGATTGAGGCAGCTTACGGTTCTCTTAGTTCTGAACACTCCAGAATCAGAGAGTCTGGATTTGCTTTTATTACCAATATGGCTAAGGTTTATGGAGCCGAATTGGCAGGCTTTTTGGATCAGATCGTTCCTGAAATTCTCAAGTGTTTGGAGCAAGAAGAATTCACCTTCGATGGCTTGAACGAGGAAGAAGAAATAGGTGCTGACGACGAAGAGGAGGACTTAGAAAACAAGTTCAACGTCCACACTGGTATCACCATTGAAAAGGAAATTGCATCTGTCGCCTTGGGTGAGTTGGCTGCCGGTACTGGAAGCCAGTTTGCTAGATTTGTCGAGCCATCGCTCAAGACATTGGCAGATCAAATCGACAATTCTTACGGTATGAGAGAAGCTGCCATGAACGCTATGTGGAAAATTGCCCGTGCCATGTTTGTTGCTACTGTCGGTGAGAACTTCAAAGCTCCCAAGGGAGTTCCTCAACAACCATATGTTGATGCTTCCATCGTTCAGTTGATTCAAACTGTCAGAAAAATTGCCATTGCTAACTTGGAGGAAGAGTTCGAGTTGACCATGGTTGCTTGCATTCTTGACAACTTGTCCGAAGCCATTCATGCTTTGGGTGCTATTGCTATCGTTGACTCGGCTGCTGACACTACTGTCCTTGAGTCATTGTGTGTTCAATTGATGAATATTATCAAGAAGGAGCACCCTTGTCAATTGGAAGATGAAGAGGGTCCTGCTGACGAGGAAGATGCTTCCGAGACTGAGGCACTTTTGTATGAGTCTGCTTTGGAGGTGTTGATCAGTTTGTCTTCTGCGTTGGCTGGTGACTTCAACAAGATCTTTGGCTCTTTCAAGGACATCATCTTGGCGAATGTCAACGGAAAATCAAAGAACAAGAGAGTGAGCTCCATTGGTGCTCTTGCAGAAATATCTTCAGGACTTAAGGAGGCCAACCCAGCGAGTGAGCAATTGCTTACTGTTTTTGTCGATAAGTTGGCCAACGATAAATCGTTAGAAGTAAAGGGAAATGCCGCCTACGGAGTTGGTATTGTCATTGAGAGCAGTTCCAATGATTTTTCTTCTGGTTACAACAACATTTTGCAGCTTTTGTTCCTGTTGTTAAACAAAACCGATAAACGTGCTGATAGTGCTGATGACGAAGAAGCCAAAGACGTTGTTCACAGATCCTACGCCAATGCTTGTGGATGTGTTGCACGTATGGCTCTTAAGAACCCTCTGGCTGTTCCAATGAACCATGTATTGGGACCCTTATTGGCTCACTTGCCATTGGAAACTGCGTTTGAAGAAAATGAACCTATTTTCAAATTGATTCTTACGCTTTACGAAAACAACAATGAGCTCATTTTGAATGAGACTCAACGTGTAGTGGACATCTTTGCCCAGATCTTCACCAAGGAGGCTAAAAGAATCAAGTTGGCAGATGAGGCTACTCTTGGCAGAGAGGAGAACATGGACAGATTGAAACAATTTGCTACAGAAGATCTCAAAACCAAGGTTATCGAGTTGTTGAAATACTTGGATGGGAAGTTTTCTGGGGTTGTTTCCAGCAATGAGGTTTTGAAGGGAGTTGTAAATTAGGGTATAGAAGTAATTGATTGAGTAAGAGTAACGGCAAAGAATGGAGTGCCAAGGACAGCTTAAAGACATCGTCATTGGGCTTTAGCGAATTGAAGAAGAATCCTTCTCTACAGGTTTCCTAGAATGGTAGTGAATCAAGTTTAGCACTTGATTCAAAATTAAAGAATTTACAGGGTCATCATTCTTTTTAAAGTGGTATATCTCTGTCTTTCGGCTGTATCGTCATCCAGTTACAATGCTCTCTCGGGAAACTCAAATTACTTAAATAGGCCGCGAAAGGTGCAATCGATGTGCATATGCTGCACACATTTAGGCTGCAAAAAAAAAAATTAAAAAGTATAAGAATGGGGATGGTTCGGTTGCTTCAAGTTAATGGATCCATACGGAATAGCAATAGCGGTGTGTTCTGCTATTTCACTTGTGATTTTGATTCCACCTCTTATTTTTCATATTCGCAAACGAAACATTCCTACAATATGCTTACTCACATTTCTCTTACTAGAGGCATTCAACTCGGTGGTTTGTGCATGTATCTGGAGTGATGAAAACTTTTACAAAAAATGGGATGGAAAAGGTTACTGCGATGTCTTTCAAAAAATAAAAGCGGGTTCTTCTAGTGGTAAAGTTGCGGCAGTCGCAGCTCTCTCATTAGATCTTTATATGATCTTACAAGCGAAGAACCACAAATATTTGGCTAAAGGGTCCAGAGTAAAACTTATTACTGAGCTTTCAATCTGTCTCATCACACCCATCTTCTGTATGGCGACAAACTACATTGTTCAGACTTCCCGGTTTGTAATAGTTAGGTACGTTGGCTGCTATGGATTTTACAGTGGTTCGGTCCTCACCATCTTTTTGGTGTCAATATGGAACTTGCTTTGGGCAGTGGTGGCAGTGGTGCTTGTGCTTCTTACCGGAATAACTTATTATAGGCGGCGGAAGGATGTAAAGGATCTTCTTCATTGCACAAACTCTGGACTTAGCGTGCGCCGGTTCACAAGAATTTTGGTATTTATTGCCCTGGTAATCACCATATTGGTTCCCATGGTGATTTACACCTTTGTCCGCGATGCTGAGTTTTATCATGGTCCATACAACTGGAAATTTACCCATGAATACTTCAATTACCCCATTCAATTTTATGCTGCGGCACCTGACGTCACAGTTAGCATTTGGCTCAACTTTGCAATCTGCGTAATTTCATTCTTGCTTTTTGGACTTGGACAAGATGCAATTCAAATGTACAAATCGTTCATTCCTCAGAAAGTTCGGGATCACTTCAATTCTCATGAAATCAAGGAGCAGGTTCTCCAGGTCGGATATTCTGAACAATGGGAAGGTGCCAATACCGGCACTTCCTATGGCACAACTATAGGCAACAGCGAGATCTTGATGAAAGATGGATTTTATGAGGATCAAATTGAGCTTGAATCGGTTCATTCTCTCTCGAATTTGAGCAAAGACCTCGAATCCATACTCCGAGATGTGGAAAACGATAAATAATTATGTACCAATCAAAGCTTTGAACCGTGCTGCAAAGATATCCGAACTAACTTTCCCCTCGGTTTCCTTCATTGCCTGGCCAATAAGGTAGTTGATGGACTTGTGCTTTCCGTCCTTAATACGCTTGATAACGTCTGGATTTGCAGCGATAATTTCAGTACAAATTTCATCCACAATTTCGTCGATGTCTGATTCTGATACACCAGTAGGCTTTCCTAGATCGTATTGTTCCATTGCTTGCTCAATTTCCATACTGTTAGGCGCAGTAACCAAGTGTCCAAGAAGAATCTTCGCCGAAGCTGAGGTGATGGATTTTTCAATGAATATCAAATGCAATAAACGGGCCAAAGATGATGGGGAAATCTTGTCAGGATCAAAAGCAAGATTATTTTTCGAAAATGCCCCGAAAACTTCATGAAAGAGCCAATTGTTTGCTCGCTTGACATCGATGTCCTTGATGGATTCTATGAGATTGTAATAATAGGACAAAACATGCTTGTTATTTACAAGGAATTGTGCATGTTTGAGTTCAATATTGAACGGGCTGGCGATGAGTTTTTCAACTACAGCATCGGGAAGCTGAGGAAGAGACTCTTGAACTTGTTTTTTGATATCAGAATGCAACCTTATAACTGGAAGTTCCGAGTCAGGAACATACCTGTAGTCCAAAGCATCCTCTTTCGAGCGCAGAGCTGTGGTGGATTTCCCATCCCAAGAACGAGTTTCTTGCAAGATAGAAACGTTTTCTTTAAGACACTCAATTTGACGACGATATTCATAACCTAGTGCTTCAGCAACTTCGCTCGTACTCCCCAAGTTCTTTATTTCTACTCGATTTCCTCCGTTTACACTGACGTTCACATCCACTCTTATGGCACCAGTTTCAAGGTCACCGGTGCAAACGTCAAGGTATTTCACAAGCGTTTGGTACTTTTTGATGAACGCTACTACCTCTCCGATCGTCTCAAAGTCGGGCTTGGTAACTAATTCAATTAGCGGAATGTTGGCTCGGTTGTAATCTATTCGTACTTCTCCATCGAATTTGACATAATTTGTCTTTCCAGTATCTTGCTCTAGTTGAATTTGTTCTATGCGTATATCCTTCTTGGTACTTTCTATGCCATCATACCGACTATCAAGCTTCAAAAATCCGCCTGTGGCAATTGGACTGTAATGTTGGGTGATCTGGTAGCCAAGAGGCTGATCTGGATAAAAATAATGTTTACGATCAAAGCTCGAATTGAGGTTTATATCACTATCTAGTGATACTGCTAGCCTCAATGCCAATCGGAGCGCCTCTGGGTTCAATTTGGGCATAGTACCAGGAAGCCCCACATCGAAATAGCTGATGGAAGAATTGGGAGGTTCATTAAAGCTGGTTTTAGACAAGGAAAAAAGCTTGAAATCCGTCTTGAGTTGGGTATGTAATTCAAGACCACATTTTAGTTTGAATCCAGACACAAGATCCGACCCTAGACGAGCAGATCGATGTAGTCGCCTAACTATGTTCATCTGATCCTGTATGTCAAGAATCAAGCGAAAACTCATTCACACCTCGTGCTCTGCTGCAGGATTCGCACTGGTACGCGCACGCCATCATTCACGATAAGATAAGTGTATCACAACAGGAGAGCGAAGTATAATAATATTGTTAGAAACCAATAATTAAGGTATGTTAAACTTCGAGACATTAGGGCAACCGTATGGTAATTCCGGGTGCATGGAAGTGGAAATTAACTACTTCAAGCAGTTAAACAATGAATACTAACAAATAGATGCGGTCACAATTTAAAGACGAACATCCATTTGGTAAGTGATTTTGGTTTATGAGAAGTCCAGTGATTGTTTTGGTAACTTTAACCATTTCTATCCTGATATATGGCACGCTTTGAAGAGCTTATGGATCCATCGGCATGGATTGGTGATGGTGGCAATGTTCACAAAGCGCGCCACCCTTGTGGGGATAATGTACTAACTTCAGAGAAGAGAAAAGCAGAGGCTTCCAGGATTATTGAGCGATTTGGCGACAGACTTCCGGTGATTTGTGAAAAGGTGGAGAACTCAGACATACAAGAAATTGACAAACGCAAGTACTTGGTGCCAGGAGACTTATCTGTGGGGCAATTTGTGTATGTGATAAGAAAGAGAATTAAGTTGCCCAGCGAGAAGGCGATTTTCATTTTCATCAATGATATCTTACCCCCCACTGCTGCTCTCATGAGCACGATATACGAAGAGCACAAGGACGAGGATGGGTTTTTGTACGTGTTGTACTCTGGTGAGAACACGTTTGGTGAGCCAACGGAACATCGCGAGGCGATCAACTTGGCAGATTTGGACTGGAGCGTCTTGAACTAGGGCCGTTCCCGTCGATGAGATTATGGATTCTGTTTCTACTTGATGTTTAGCTGGTTTGGTATTGCAGAAGAGGTGTTGTATAGCTCTATATATCGTTTGTCTTGACCTGCGAATGCACCAGTATTATTATGTTCACGCCGTCGGCCTTGACATTGATGTGGTCGTAAAAGAGCTTGTAGAGTCCTTTGGTTACTTGATTTTCATCGTCAATTACCAATTCATCGACTCCAAGTGCTCCAGCAATTTTCAGGTACAATTTGTTTTTGTTGGTCAATTCCACTGCCAAGCCATAAAAAACTCCATTATATTCATATTTGATCTTATTCTCAAGATCTTTTTCAATAAATGTGGCATATTCCAGAACCAAGCTGGACATGATTCCATCATCTATATCTTGCTTTCCATCAAACATCACCAATAGTCCAGTTGCAGACGATAAGTCGAGAGTTTGGAAGCCGTAACATACGCTAACAGTGATCAAAAGGACCAAATACCAATATATTCCATGAAACATTATAAAGAATTAACTTATCCTTGACATTTGGTCATGCAGGGTGCAGCACTTTCCGCATTTGAATGAAATCGCACCCATTCTATGAAGGTGTTCAATTAAACTTTTATTAAATTGTTTATGAAGTTCTTCTATATTATGGTTTTCAACCTAGTTGTCTGTCATGAGGTCGCTGAACTTGGTTTCCACATTTTGAAGTTTTTGTCTCAATTCAGCTTTGCGGTGATCATCGCACCATGAGCCGTTGATTCCGTTGAGCACCACCTTGGTCCATTCTTTTGGAGTGAACCCAAACCTGGTGTGTACGTGGATGTAATTATCAAGAATATAACCCCCAAAGTAAGCGGGGTCATCAGAATTAATGGAAAATGGAACACCAGCGTCTAAGAATTTTCTGATTGGAAGTTCAGAAACATCTTTTACAACTTGCAATTTCACATTTGACATGGGACAAAGCGACAACATGACTTGATTTTCCGCCAAGTGTGCCATCAATTCGTCGCTGTGTTGCGAATTGACACCATGGTCGATTCTGGTCACATTCAACTTGTTCAACGAATTGGTGACATATGTATGGTCGCCTTCTTCTCCAGCATGCGCCGTCAAATTGACATGGGGAAACTGGTCCTTCAATGTCTTGTAGCAATCAGTGAAGAGCTCTGGAGGAAAGGGTTTTTCTGCAGAATCAAGACCCAACCCGTGGATGACACCGGCTTGGTAATATGGAGCAGCACTGGCTATAGTTTGCAACCCATCAGCTGCAGGCAAGTGGCGCAAAAGACACATGATAAGTTTGTTTGTTGTACCCAACTTTTCGTTGGCATCCTTGCAAGCTCTTTCAAACCCAGATACTACGGTATGAATGGGTATACCTCTCTCTACATGGCCTTGGGGATCGAAAAATACTTCTGAATGAACACATCCATCGGCATGAGCACGCTTAAAATACTCCATTGCCAAGTCATAGAAGTCATCCTCCTTGATCAACACACTCATGCCAACATAGTAGTGGTCCAAGAAGTCTTGTAAATCAGCAAAATTGTTGTATCTTTCATTACATGCAGCTACAGATGCAGGGAAATTGGATGGTAAAGTGATGTTGTTTCTTTCGGCAAGCTGGAAAAGCAAGGACGGTTCAAGAGTTCCCTCCAAGTGAACATGATGTTCACATTTGGGAAGTTCCCGAAGAAATTCGGTCATACGTGGGCTGCATTCGTGGACCATATTGCAATTTTTCACTGTCGCTTATCGCATCTCTTCGATTTGACACATTTCCTGCAGGTGCGGCTGCGGCTGTGTGATGAGCAGACGAAACGCTAATCAAGTTGAGAATTATTGAGGTTCACAGCCGATACAAAACCAACACAAACCTAACATTCTCAGTCTGGATCTTATAGCATTCGCTTTGTTCGTTGCCTGCTAAAAATATCCATGTTTTGGTCTGGTCACGTGACACGTCATACCCCGTCTATAATTAGCCCAAACCGGGCTGTACCTGCGAAATATTGCATCCTTGTTGCCTATGCATGCACTTCCAAGAAAACACCAACTGCACGTTTTCAACGCATGACCATGGTTTCGCCCAACTTGAAATAAACCTTTCTTGCAACGATAGTGTTTGTGCGCGGAATCAGCCAGCCATCGCAGCCGTTTGACGAGTTGCAACCAAAAAGCATCCACCTAACGAAAAAGGTCAATTTTGTACCACAACAAACCTTTATCTTTAAAGTTCACCACTGCGGCTCGTATTTGCTTCCCTTGCTCGTGATACCATCTTGAAACAGGGTTTATTATAGTACACCCGTGCACCGCGCGTCCCCGCGATCATAGCCTCCCGTCGCGGTTTATATTATAGTTGATGATCTGGAAACACTTGAGTTAAAAAACCCCAATTTTGACATAGAGCATGAGTTATAACTATCGCCGCAACAGCGGCGACTCGCTAGAGGATTATGTCCAGCACCAGGGAACATACAATTATTCACATCAGCCCAGCCAAGAATCTCTTAATTTTCAGCACCCACAGCCCGTGTACAACAACCATCAGCCGAGCTATGACGACTTTACCGAGTACTACCAGGACCCCGTGAGGCCTACTGAAATCTTCACGGCTCCAGCACCGCCACAACTCGAACCATTGGCACAGGAAAATCCATTTGATAATCGATTGTCGGATCCCGTACACGACAACTACGAACTCAACAATTTCCATGACTACAACTATGCCACGACCAACGACTATCACCAGGCGTTTGTTCCCCACGTGTACGATGACGATGAGGAACGCGAGTTCGATAGACAAATCGAATACAACCAGTTTGACGGTGATTCCTATGACTTGAATGTCGTCCAAGTACCGTCAATTGTGTCGAAAGAAGACTTGATTGACGTTCCAGAGTCACCATTTGGCGACGAGCGCGATCTCCCCGAACCACCAGATGAAGAGCCTGTCCGCTCCAAACCACAGATCGGAATTGCCTCGGGCTTAAACGGACATTTGGTATTGGATTGTCCTGTTGCGACCGAGCTCTTGACAAAGTTTCCGGGTTACAGACCCGATGTGAAAGATGGTGGATTAGCCAGAGAATTCTCGTATATGAGATACACTGCTGTGACGTGTGGACCGTCGAATTTTTACCGTGATGGTTATATCTTACGTCCTGTTCATTATCCCATGCCTCGTCAAACCGAGATCATGATTGTGGTTACAATGTACAATGAAGATGATATTTTGCTTGCTAGAACCTTGAAGGGTATCTTCAAGAACATCAAGCATCTCGAATCGAGAACCAGGTCGCCGGTATGGGGAAAAGATTCATGGAAGAAAATCGTCGTTTGCGTCGTCAGTGATGGTCGTTCGAAAATTAACGAGCGTGCTCAAGCGCTCTTGGCAGGTCTTGGAGTTTATCAGGAAGGTCTTGCCAAGAGTAGAGTCGACGACAAGAAGGTGCAAGCTCACATCTACGAATATACCACTCGAGTTGGTATTCTGAGTGTTGACGATACAGTAAAGTTAACCACCGAAAAAATCGTGCCAGTTCAGCTTCTTTTCTGTCTCAAGGAAACGAACGCAAAAAAGATCAATTCCCATAGATGGTGTTTCCAAGCGTTGGGCCAGGTCCTCGACCCTCGTATAGTGGTGTTATTGGATGCGGGAACCCAACCTTCAGGAAAATCGTTGTACCATCTTTGGAAGGAATTCGAGAAAGACCCTCGAGTTGCAGGTGCATGTGGTGAAATCAAGGCTTCCTTACAAAAGAGACAAATCATCACCAATCCTATTGTGTACGGACAAAATTTCGAGTACAAAATTTCGAATATTTTAGATAAACCAACAGAAAGTGTGTTTGGCTTCATTTCGGTTTTGCCTGGTGCTTTTTCGGCCTATCGTTATGTTGCTCTCCAGAATGACGTCAATGGTAGAGGTCCTTTAGAGAAATATTTCAAGGGTGAATTTCTTCATGGAAGTGGAGAATTGGATCCTGAGGATGACGAATATCAACTCAAAAAGGCTCAGTTGAAGGATGAAGCAGGAATTTTCACCTCCAATATGTACCTTGCAGAAGATCGTATTCTCTGTTACGAATTGGTTGCAAAAAGAGGCTGTTCATGGCTTCTTAGATATTGTAAAAGTGCTAGTGCCGAGACTGATGTCCCCGAAGGATTGGCTGAGTTTATCTTGCAAAGACGGAGATGGCTTAATGGATCGTTTTTTGCAGCCATTTATTCGTTAGCACACTTTCCAAAATTGTGGACTTCATCGCATTCTATAGGAAGAAAGTTCTTCCTCCATATCGAGTTTTTCTACCAATTTTTGAATCTTATTGTGTCTTGGTTTTCCATCGGGTCTTACTTTTTGGTATTCAGAATATTGACCACTTCTTTGGCCTCAAAGGACTTACATTTTGCTCCTGGAAACGTCTTGTCTGTTGTGTTTCTATGGCTTTATTTGGCATCGATTGTCACTACATTTGTGTTAAGTTTTGGTAATAAGCCCAAGGGTACGGAAAAGTTTTATATTGTCATTGTTGTTTTCTTCGCCATTTTAATGGCATATATGATATTTGCTGCGATATACATGGCAGTTCATGCAATCCAGGCGATATACAATGATCACACTAAAATTACCGTGAGTCTATTTTTCAAGAATGCTCAATTTAGAGACTTGGTGGTTGCAACAGCATCCACGTATGCTCTATATTTCATATCATCTTTCCTTTACTTTGAACCATGGCATATGTTCACGTCGTTCCTTCAGTACATTCTTTTGTCTCCCGCCTATGTGAATGTGTTGAATATCTATGCATTTTGTAACATTGATGATATTTCATGGGGTACCAAAGGTGATACTGGAGCCAAAGATTTGGGTGCTGCTAAGGTTAGAGAAGACGGTACTTTCGACGTTAATATTCCTATTCTCAAAGAGGAAATCAATCAGTCATACCTTGACCAATTGGAAAAAATCAAAAAGCCCACTCCAAAAGAAGCTTCAAAGCCTCCAACAAGCAATGAGGATTATTATGCATTTATTCGTTCCATGACTGTATTAGTATGGATGTTTTCAAATTTCGTGTTGATAGCGGTGGTTCTCGAAACCGGTGGGTTCAACCAGTTGGATCCTGGTAGTGACGATACCTCCAGATCTGAGATTTTTTTGACGGTTATCTTATGGATGGTTGCGTTCATGGCGTTGTTTAGGTTCCTTGGCTCCTCGTTGTATCTTGTGCAGAGATTCTTTGCCAAGTTTAAACATTCGCAGCGACGTTGAATATTGTGTAAAAGTGTAATAATACCAAATGGAGAAATTGAAAGATTAATTTGAGAGAAGGTGAAAAAAAAGGAAGAGCAAAGAAAAAAAACACTTTAGAAATGAAAGGAGTAGTATATTAGCACAATCCATTGTACAATTGCTGTGCAATGGTTCTGCTCTTGGCATCTCCAGCTTTTGCAACCTACACCCGTGCACCCGTATCTAGACATTCGCAGCCTCGCGTTATGAAAACAATACTCAATGAGTAAACACCGACCAAAAGGCATAGATATTGATCTTGGTGAGCCCCTTCCACTTCCGTACCAGGTCAAAGAGGAGGAGAAGGAACGGGAATTACCTTCTTTTGAACCTGTTCCTGTTCGACAACGACGTTGGAGAGACGTTTCAGACCACGAAGAACCACCACAAACCACCACAAATGTTACAATCCCAAAGCTCCTGAGGTACTCGAAGCAAAGAGACACTCGAAATTCCGAAGAAGAGCCGTTAGAGCTAATACGACACCATATAGATGGTATAAGGGCAATTATCACCAAACATGATCTAAGTCTTGACACCAAAATACTCGATAATTTTGACGCTCAATTGAAGAAAGACGTTGATATAATGGACGAGCTCGACAAGCTCCAGACATTACGACAGGAAATGACACCAGGAGTGTCTTATCTTAAAATTACCGTGGTAGCACTTACCATCATTGTGGTGATGATGGGATCGTTTTTGATGTCGGGACTCAACTACGATTACTGTTACTACCTTTGTTGATTATTATGTACAATACTACTCGTCATAGTCGTTGGCGGGAGGAGCAGCACTTTCGCTGCTCATGTATAAGTCTATGGCGGTGGAAAACGCAGCGAACCCAGCGCATCCAAACAATGCAGCCTGAGGCCCTGCTTTTATGGAAAGTCCAGCACCGGTAATACACCCGGCAGAGACTCCGTTATAAATATCGTGCTTGGCTCGCAAACTCTCGATGGCACATTCTACTCCAGAGTATACGAACCCGATGTAACCAAAATTTTTGGCCGATGAGTAAGATCGGCGTCCCATGTCGGAAAACTGGAGCTTCATCTGCTGCTTGAATGGAAGTTCACTTATATGGTTCACTGATGCCGTTCCTACGGGCACATCATAAGCCATCGAAGCCATGAACAAACCGAAAAAACCACCAAGGGCAAAACCTGTTACCCCCGCCATGGCAGTTTTTCCGGGACATGATTGCATGAACTCGATCATCTGCTTTGCCCCGGCCTCGGCCTGCTCTTCCTGTGTCATCTCGGCGAATGGTTTCTGGGGCTGCTGCCCACCAAACATACCGAACAGAGACATGAAAATCGATGCAATGTCGCGAGTCGCAAAGCGTTGTCAGCGTCTCGTGCAAAATAATCCCGTGAAGTTTATCATGTGATTACTTTTGGTTTTCAGCGCCAATCCCGCACTCGCACGACAGCCGCAACTGGTGGTGCTGGATAGATTATCGGAGTCACCCCACTTGTCGGAACCGACGCTAAAAAAAACATTCAAAGACCACCGCACAATCACCTTATCAAACTTTAGACACTACAGCCCACAAACACACCACTTGACATTGGCTAATTTTTCATCTCTCATCTCATCTCTTCCCCAATCTTCTCCACACTATGTAATATACACAACCAGGCATCGATTTCCCCACAAGACTAGCCCCTATTTCTGCAAGTGTTCTTTTGCTGTAGCCTTAATTTCTACAAAAAGCAATTCTCTTTGTTCTTCCCCGTCATTCCCCTCTGTTCCCCTCCCATGTCCGTATCTGGTATCACCCCACTGATATCGTGACTAGTTCGCGCTAATAGGTGGCTTGAGGGAATTTGCAACCGGTCGGCGATAGGTATATAAAGGCATTGAGGCATTTACCAAATTACCACTGTTCTGTTTCAAATTCAAGCACATTTTTGTTTGAGTTTGATTTCTAGTTCACAAGTTTAAATTGATAGTTATACGACACCCGCACAGCACCTTCAACTCCAACCATGACTGCGAAAAAATCCAAGTCCGGTAGAATGACCACTGCCTTGGACTTGACCACCTGTGAGAAACTCGAACACTTGCAACCCATTCCTAAATCCAGATCTTCTTCGATTACCTCAATTGAGTCGGAAGATGGCATGATGTCGACGGTTTTGAAGCCTCCACCAAGAAGAGACTTTGACGACTTGATGGCGTTTGAAGGTTTCATTAGGGATGAGACCTGGGACAATGACTTTGATTATTGTCATGCTCACTTGACATATTATCCACCTTTTATCATGAAAGAGGTGCACAACAATTTAGACAAAATTAAACCCACCATGAACAAAAACTCGAGAAAATTCAAGAGAAATCTTCAACATCACATTAAAAAACACTTGATGCACGACATGGAGACGTGCTCAGGATTCAAGATGGACTTTAACAAGGTTGGAATGGTGGAAACACCAACTAAAGTCAAATGGAGATTTGAGGATATGGGCGACCATGGCTTCTCCAAAGAGGAGGAAGACATGTATGGAAGACACTGGAAACTTGAGCTTGAGGTTACCTGCAACAACGAAAATCCCTTGGTTGAGGTTGACTATAAGGCCACCCCAATTATGTGAATATGATTTTCCAGATATCATATAGTTGCCTGTTCTGATTGGTTTTTATAATGTTTACGAATAACGAATAAATGACGAATGACTTTAAGCTCGCGCAACCGCATCGTATGCTGGACTAGCATAGTAGTACTGGTTGGCAAATGAATCCATGTTTTCGGTGATGTAGTCGAGAAAGTCAACGCTTTGAGAAATTAGAGTGCTCAAACTGGGACCATCCATGGTGGTTTGTGCGAGTAATCCAGGTAACAGGGCAAAAAGTCGTAAAAGATGCTCAACTCCATACAAGTCAGCAGCTGCAAAATTGTCATGTTCCTTACGGAGCTCCAAATATTGAAGACGTTCCACCTTATAAAGTAACATCAAGCTGAGACACCGATTGAAATATATTTCCAACCCATTAACGTACTCATGGATCATATGGTCATCTTCATCAGACCCTCCACTATTGGCTGCTGAGAACTGCTTGAGGATTTGAGACACCGGAACTCGTGCTGGAACTGTCAATAACTTGTGATCCTTGGTTATGTATTCCCAGTCGTCTACCAATATATGCTTCAACTCCGGTCGCATTGGTATATAAACCTCGTTATATTTGGTACTTTCTTGTCTTCTTTTGGGCCGTCCTCTCTTCGGCGCTGTAATCTCTCCTCCACTGCGCTTCTTAGCGTTTTCTGGAGCAGGTGAATTTGAATTGGTTTGGTTTCCCTTCTTGGATTTGGAATGTACAGATTTTTGGGCATCTCGAAGCTTTTGCTGGATTTTGAGATTCTGCTCGTTGAACTCCAAGATTCGCAGATTGGGAACCCACTCGTCCCATTTGTTATTCCAACCTTTATAGTGGACATAATAGGTGTCTACATCAATTAGACTTTGTGGAACCGACGACTGCTCAGCAGGTATGTGTTTTCCTTCCTCATCTTCCACATAACTTTTGTTCTTCTCGTGCACACGGAGAACCTTGGCTTCGTAGACCAACGGCCCGTGGTACGCCAACACCCGACTATTGGGTCGAAAGCTCATAGCTATAAATCACATTGTACTGCTGGTGCGTACTATTAAGACACCCAAACACCACACAGTCCACCTCACAAATGCAACAAAAAGAAGCACTTTCACCACTGTCGCCGACAAATGAAGAGCTTGTTGCATTCACTCTCGCCCTATGACCCCCAACGCCGCTTTCAAACACAAATACTTCATTTTACCCGAACTCGGAAACATCCTGCAGATAAGCACGGGCACCTCATTTTGGGCAAGATTCTTTAACGAGAAGAAACATTTAATTGATAGGTTTTATCCACGAGCCCTGGGCGATATTGGCGAATTTAGTCTTGACACTTCCCGTGCTACGCATCAGAACTTTAATAATCCACCGCATTTGGGCCATCTGCGATCATTAGAGACCAATTAAAAACAAGTCCCGACAAAGGGAGAAACGTTATCACTTCATCACGACGGTTTCCCAGTAAATTTACGGCCACCAAGGGTTTGGAATGGCAAACAGCTCGGCAAACATAGTGGGTGTCCACTATAAAGTCGGTAAAAAGATAGGAGAGGGATCTTTTGGCATCATTTTTGAAGGTGTCAATCTTCTCAATAATCAACAAGTAGCCATAAAGTTTGAACCACGTAAATGTGAAGCTCCGCAACTTCGAGACGAGTACCGCTCGTACAGAATATTGAATGGGATTCCGGGGATTCCCCAGGCATACTTCTTTGGACAAGAAGGCGTGCACAATATTTTGGTAATTGACTTATTAGGTCCTTCTTTGGAAGATTTGTTCGACTGGTGTGGACGCAAGTTTCTGGTAAAGACGGTTGTTCAGGTAGCAAAACAGATGATTGCGCGTGTACAATCGATTCATGAGTCCAATCTTATCTATCGTGATATTAAACCAGATAACTTTTTGATCGGAAAGCCGGGTTCACCCAATGCTAATCAGGTTTTCGTGGTTGACTTTGGTATGGCGAAACAGTTCCGTGATCCCAAAACGAAACATCACATCCCTTATAGAGAAAAAAAGGCTCTCAGTGGAACCGCAAGGTACATGTCTATAAACACCCATTTAGGAAGAGAGCAACTGAGAAGAGACGATCTCGAAAGCTTGGGCCATGTGTTCATGTACTTTTTGCGAGGATCTCTTCCTTGGCAAGGGTTGAAGGCTCCTACCAATAAGCAAAAGTACGAAAAAATTGGACTCAAAAAGCAAAGCACATCTATCAATGAACTCTGCTACGGGTTCCCCATCCAGTTTGCTCAATATCTCATGTATGTTCGAAACCTCAAGTTTGACGAGGATCCAGACTACGCCTACTTAATTCTGCTCATGGACAAAGCTTTCATCTCCATCGAAGCTACCGAGGACAATCACTATGACTGGATGGATCTTAATGGAGGACGAGGATGGGATGCAGCTCTCAATAGAAAGGCCAATTTACATGGTTATGGAAATCCCCATCCACCACAACCTCCACAAAATAAGCATCGTCAATCTTCAAACACTCAGCCATATGGTCGTCAAGCTAGACTTCATCCCGACAGTCTGTTGAACAGAAATCCAAGACCACAATCTCACTCACCGCTCAAAGCGAATTACCAATCTTCAGGTCAAGAAAACGATGCAAGCCGGTACGGAAGATATGGAACCATGTCGGCGAACGATGACTATCATTCAGAGGTTTCTAGCATTGAGAGAAGACTTCGCGAGCGAAGCTTCTTGCGACGGTTTTTCTGCTGCTTTTAAAATCTCAATCATAAATTGCTAAATATTAGTCCTGCTAACGTTGCTAACTAGTGCTATTGCTCATATTGCTGTGGCTGATGCTACTCCTCAACGATCGATCCCTTCCTGGATGTCATGCCCTCTTCAGAATTCATAGAGTTCACACTGTTCATTCTTTCAGTTCTACCCTTATTGATTTCGTCCAACCCACTCACTGTCTTGTTAAAGCTCTTGGACGTCGGCAACCAAGAACTATTGTTGGATCCGTTTTCGTGATAACTATAAAATTTGCCAGTATTGACTTGTGAAGCACCCAGGTAGTGAGGGCGAGTCTTGCCGCCGTTCATGGCAGTTCCTATTCTTGTAAAGAAGTTGTCAAAAAGATCGGGCATGATTTGACTGACAAAAGATTGGGGGCGTCGCTGCCTTTATACCCCACAGTTCGGAGTTGTGCAGTCTACTTGCTGCGAGAATTAATAATGCAGGTGGGGAACCGGCGGGGAGGACAAATTAAGCGCCGGACTAGAACGTGACAGATCTTTAGTCATATTATTACCTAACGGCGTATTGGGCCACAAACTGTAATTAGGTTACGGCCGGTTGCTATGGGCCAGTCTATGGGCGATCTACGGCTTATGTGCAGACTATCTTGCATCTATGGGCCGAACGATCTGCGGCCTTCTCTGGGCCCCTACAATTTTTAACATAAAGCAATTAATAAAATTATAATGACACCTCTACTCCTGGCCAAAGCCAACTGTTTCCTCCACAGCCAACGTTAACTTTTGCTTCAAGCTTGCATAATCGGCATATGGCGGTAAGTCCACTCTATTGAAACAAGTGTGGGATTTGGGAAGTTGGTTAGGTTCACCCGCCTTTTCAATGGTGAAGCGTCTAGGACCATCGGAACCTTGAAGATCCTTGAACCCATTGACGGGAATTCTAGAGGTACCGGTGGTGAATTGAAGCAAACGAGCCTTTTGTTCGGAATCCCATTCTTTGATACATTTCCAGAACCATTGAATGACTTGGTCTGATTCTTGGTATCCACGATAATCGGTATGCTTCTTCCAGTCCTCCACATCGATCTCTGCTAAACCACCGATTAAGAGTTCGAGTTCACGCTCATCAAATACATTGACCAACTCTTGTGGGATCAACTCATTGAAACCGTCAATAAATGCCTTAAATTGCTCCTCCACTCGTTTGTAGATCTTCCATTCGGAGATGAGCTCCACATATTCATGCTTATTCTCTTCTGTCACCTCGATATTGCGTCCGTTTTCTTTCAAATCAACTTCCACAATCTCTCCAAATCTTTCGTCTTCAGCACTGAAAGTAAGATCTAATATTCCAGTGATGTCATTATCTAGAATCCATTTAAGCGATCTGAAAAATTCAGCATCCACACCTTCCATATCCTGTAATACAACCTTCTTGTGTAACATCATCTTGTACAATGCACCAACGAAGAAAGCATCCAAGAAACGCCGGTGGAAAACACCCAATCCCACCACTCTACCGATAAATTTGAAGTAGTTCAAGTGCTCGGGATTGATGCCCGAATTAGGATTGAATTGAAGCGTATAGTTGTCATGCGAGGAGTATTCAAATAAACAGTAGAACGGGTTGAACATATCATGTGAAAGCAAGAAGAAGAATTCTCTCGACACTCCTCCATAATCCAAACCTTCTTCACCGTCGAATTTGATCATCAATCTCTTCTTCAAATCTTCTGGGGTTTGGCGCATAATCTCTTGGTATGAATCCTCAAATATATGATCTCTGCGGACCTTTATATGGCATTGACCAGGTAAGATCCGAAGAGCAGGTTGAGATCTAAAGTAGATCACCTTACGACGGAAATCACGTTTATACTGAGGCACATTTTGGTCAAGCGAAGATGGAAGTCTGGGATCATCCCAGGTGGTAGTTTTGGTGTTATGATCGACAAAATACACCCTTGCTGTATTTGTCAACCTCATTTCCCAACCAGAAGGCAAGGGTCCCAATTGCGATACCGGCTGTTGCTGGACCGTGGTGTTGGGTCCAAAAGTACGGATATACTGTTGTCTACGGGGATCAACCCACGTAGTAGTTCTAGTATTGTGATCAACAAAGTATGGCCGTCCTTCGTTGGTGAAACGCTGCTCCCACCCGGAAGGCAACTCACCCAAACCACTTGTGGTGGCTCCCAGAGATGCCATTGACACGGCAGCACTGGGGCTGACAGGAGTATTGGCTCCGGTGGAGTTTACGGTGACATTTCCAGATGTGGCAGACAGAACTGTAGGCAGCTGAGGGGCCTCTCCAGGAAGGGTACGGCCACGATGTTGTCTTCTTTCCGCCTCGGTAGCATCCTCCCGTTGCTGACCACGTTCCGATTCGGTTTGGTCAAGGGTAGGACGTTGCCAGGTGGTGGTTCTGGAGTTGTGATCCACATAGTATGTACGTCCAAAGTTGTCAGTCCGTCTCTCCCAGCCAGGAGGAAGACGGCCGTACTGGTCTTCGAACGAGGAGTATTGTCTTGCCGAGCCATTTGACGTCGTTGTATCACCGTTGGAAGCTGGTACTGGCAAGGTAGACGACTGCGTAGTTGATGCCACCATAGCCGGTGCTGACGAAGCATTCTGGGAAGAGCCGGAGACACCATTGCGAGAATTTTGGCTCTCATGGGAGATCACAACAATGATCTTTCCGCTGACGGCCAAATTTTCGTTGCTCTTTTTGAGGTCCCTGGTGATCGTCTCCTCCGACGAGGCAAGGGAAAGATCAACCACATCACCTATACGGATGTTGACAACCCCTAAAAAGCCCTGGTCTTTCTTCTTAAACTTTTTTTGATCGAAAACTTGTATAACAAGAATGGAATCTTCCGATGAGTCAAATGTGAATGTTTCATTCCAATACGGATTCAACGTCTTTTTAGCAGTTTTTGTCGTTTTCGTCTGGGATCCATCGACCGTGATTACCGCAAACGGGTCTGGTTGACGAAATACATCTCGTTTGTAAAGCGATTCTGCTGCAACGACCTTGACACTGATTTTGCTTCGTGACATGGTGGACCGTACGCAGGAGGGCTTTGCAATGCAAGGGGTAATCAGTGACCAGAGAGGGCAACGGGTTGTTTGAGATCACTAAGCACGAGGCACTTGTTTCCAATGTAAATAACAGCACCAAAAGACTTGCGTTATGGGTGTGTATTAGAGGTGTAGTAATTGTTTCGATTTTCTAATTTCACCCGCACCACAACCGGGTGTTGGGGCGGGCCGGGAGGCTGAGATGAGGTGAGCGCTCGGTTGCTGCAGGAAGGAACAACGGTATTATAATTTACTATTATAAATACTATGGTATTTATTGTTTAATGTGTTAATGCTACTGGTTGTCTGAGCTCGTGGTGCTTCTTATCGTCCTGGAAAAGTAGCGTAAAGTCATCAAGAGTGAAACTGGTATGTTTTTGGTGAGTGGGTTCCGCCATGTCGATCTCGTCAATGGTGGGTGCGGTGTCGAGCGTTGTGTTTGAGTCGTTTATGCGAGCACGAGCAAAGTCTGGAGATGAAGTTGCCGAGTCAGAATCGAATAAATCTGGGAGTTGAGCGGAATCCGGACCAAACTTTGGTGTTGCAGAATGTACTGGCGTAGACGATACCGAAACAGCAGTATCAACCGATAACGCAGACTCGTTGAAATGCTCTGTGAGGGTGAAATTGAACTCGTCTTCAAAGCCAGAAACTTCGGATTGAACCTCGTATTGAGAAATGCTAAGCTTGCATGGCTCGGTGTCGGATGTGAGGGTGTCGTTAGACAATGTATGCAATGGATTTTCGTACTTGGAAGCAGTACGGGAGATGGATAATGGTTTTGTTGGCTCGGCGAGGTCTTCCTGCGACTCGCAAACCAAGGTGGATTGTGAGGGTTCGGCCGAGGACATGAGCAATTGCATGTCTTCGTCGCTATAGTATAATTTGTTGGCTGCAAAATCAACTTTGACGGCATCATAAATCTTGGAATGAACTCCGAAAAACGAACTGGAATCCACAGATAAAACCTTGACGTCGTCTTCGTGATCCACTGATGCCATGGCCACAATGGTGCTGTTGGAAGCTGGTAGAACCGTACCACATTGCCTTTGCGAAACTCTCTGTTGCAACGAATTTCTCACTGGATCAAAGTACACGCTACTCAATCCTTCCTTGAGTCCACATTCTCCTACTGCTGGGGTTCCTTCTTTGTCACCCAGCAAGTCCCAATGGACAATATTTCCATCTTTTCCACCGGTGAACAAATCTCCGTTATTCCACTCCATGCTAATAATCTTGCGACCCTGGTGACCGTCGAGCGTTGCATAGCTCTCTTGCTGCCTTATATCCCACAACCGTACCACACCGTCGTTGTGAGCCGCTGCAAATACGTATTCGTCTTTTGGTGACCATTTGACCACTGTGGAGCCCATTTTGCTTCTATTGGCTTGGTGGACGATGCTTGCGGGAACTCCAAACTTGGGCTGCCTTGTGTCGAAGAGCGAAACACCAAATCGACCACAAATTGCAACCGTAGATGAGTTTTGATGGATAGTTGGGTCAAAATTGTGCAACCCAGAAATATTGGAAATCGAAAGCGGTTTTGGCTTTTCTTGGCTTTCACAATCACGGATATCCCAAAGAAACAAACTGTTGTTGTACTTGCTCAACAAGTTTCCTGACTTGGTGAACCCCATTCGTGAAATTCCCGCCTGGTTTTGCTGAACAGTTTCGTCGATGGACTTGAGATGTTTTCTGTGATTAAACCTCTTGCAAATTGAGGCCGACTGCTCTTCGTCATTGGGAAGCGACACGAGATGGGCATAGCCCTTATTGTTTCCCGTAATCATGTAGTCGCTGTGATTGGGGACCCACTGCATCAGGTGTATATTTGGAAGGGTAATGGTATTGCTGTGGGTTAAAAAATTGCTGTCCAAGTCGAGCTGGTACAAGAACAAGTTATCTTCCTTGGCACCACTCGATATAGCAATTTTTGGTTCGTTGGTTCCAGCATTATTCACAGCAATAGATGTCAAGTTCATGGTGGCATCGGGTATTTTCCAGTAATTTGACTTGATATTCAACCTATTCAACGAACAGGTCTTGTTAATGACCTCGGTATCTCTTGGATTCTCAGCGTTTAAGAGCCAATTGCTTCCATTACTGCTTAGTGGAAGATCGAATGTGCTCATACTAGCTACTGGGGAAAGTTCGGGACTAAACCGCCGAATGGCATTATTTCTGAACAAAAGTGTAGGACCGTAATAATCAGACATTTTGGTGTCAGTGCCAAGCTGATCTGATGTATATATACTGGTTCGTATTTAACATGATCTGAGGCTGGTCTTCATACAAATTCGCAGCCATCACCAGCAGAGCCGCAAGGCTGGCTGCACGACGGATCACGTGCGCGCTGGCTACTCACCAAAAACGATCAAATCGGCTTCATTTTGAATCGGCGATCTCGACTTGAATTGAGATAATCGAATCGGGGTATTGCTGATCACCAGCATACATGAGCTGTTTTTAAATAGGTATTACGTCAATGTGGAGTTGCTATGGTGTATTGGCGGGAAAACGTCAAGCCATCAATCGATAACTTAAGTGCAGGAACAGATCAATCAACTCTAATATTCAGTTAACAAGAAGTAAACAAGAAGTAATAAGATTAGAATGGTTTTGGGATTGTCTATGAAAATTAGTGCACCTCGGTTTAATCTACCTCCTCTTATATATACATGGCTTCAAAAGCCAGTTACCTTCTGGGTCCTTTGTTCTTCTCGACTCAAGTTCCTCTTTTTCAGTCTCATGTTCTATAAATTTGTGTCTTCTCTCCAATTTTGCTCGGCGTTCCTCAATGATGTCTGGAGGAGGTTTGAAGAATTCGAATCTAGTGAACATTTTGTTGGAGTTATCTGTGTTTTTATGGAAGAATCCACAAAGCTTCAATGCCTCCACAAACTCATGGCCAACATCTTCTGGTTTTATAGTTCTTGCTTCTGCCGATTCAGTGAATCTCGACTTGATTTCAGCAATCCAAAGCTCTCCACGAGGAGCCAAAATCCGGTATGCTTCTTTGATAAAATCAAGAAAATTTGTTCCCATCAATGCGAGACAAAAGATCACAATACTGCACGAATTATCTGGCAAAGGTACATGTTTTATGTCGGCGACTGTGATTCTGTCATTCACTTTCTTCAAGTCAAAACTGTGTACTTTTATGTCCAAACCTCCTCTCTTCTTCTTCTTATTATGCTGCGCAATAAATTTGTTAACATCGAGCGCAAGCTGGGCTTCTCCACATCCCATATCGGCTATCACAACTTGCTTTCTACCCTCGTTGACAATTCCTGGAAGTCCTCCAGGAGCATTTACCGGACGAGACAGGCCACGCTTTTGAATTTGGTCAACGAAAACATCTACTGGATTCTCAGGCCAAGACTGAACCTGTTCACGGAAACCTTGATGGTACTCATCGAATAACGAAGGTTGTTCTTCCACCAACTTTAATGCCTCCTCGGAACTGATAGTGTATAGTTGCTCGTTTATCCATCTGAATCTCGATCCTGAGAGCTTTGCCATCATTTTTTGTTGCAATGGAGTCAATTTACCTCTCAAACTCATGATTGGGGCAGCAGGTTTTGGTGCATCAGTTTTGGCAGGAGCATTTTCTGGCTCCTTAGACTTCACCTTTTCCTTCTTCGTGTCACTGGGAGCCTTCGCCTTTTTTCTGGGAACGTCATCCTCGTTGTTTTTTCTCTTATTCTCTCGCTGAGGAGTTCTTTTGTCGTTCTTTTTGGAAACCTTTTCGTCCAAATCTACAGACTTTACAGCCTTAAGATCCACAGGTTCATTTTTCTTAGCCTTCTTCTTCTTTTTGCTTTTACTTTGGTCTCCAGAAACAATTTCTTTCTGTTTGAGGTCCCATCCCTTTACTTCAAAAAGAGCCATCTTGATAAATTTTCGATGAGCTTCGCGATTTTCTTACGCGAAGCATTGATAACGACTCGGTTCATAGCACGAAAATAGAGATCTCAAAAGTGCGCTATACTATTCTATTCACAATAAAGAATTATATTCAGCTATATCCACAAGAATCAAATCGTAAATATCCACAGAGATCAAAATCAATATCCACAAAGATCAAATCGTATTTGTCCACAGATCAAATCGCATGCATTCACCACATAAACCTAGTCATGGAAAAGCGAAAATATATCCATCACAACGACAAGGACCGACTATACTACCTTCCTGAACACTTTCCGCTTGCTCCAACCTCCTTGGCTCCAGTTCCTTTACTCAATGTTGACCTTAATGATACCAAAAATGTCATGTCTGTGTACGGTTCTGTGGGTTTTGGTAGATACCTGGAAGGCTACGTGATGCTAAACAATTATCCACTCAAGGAGGTGAAAATATGTGGAAAACTTGTAGGCGAAACATATAAAGATTTTGATATGGCGGGCCGTATGAATAAGAAAAATTATATTATGGTGGAGGTTGATGATTGTTCTGGGATCAATCTGACAGTGCTAGTAAAGGTCCGCGAGTCATTGTACTTGCTACTGGGATTGAAATTTGGAGAAAATTATGGATGTCATCTTGCTGTATGTGGACTGGTGAGTGAATACCATAAGAGAACTATGGTTAATGCCCATGCTTTTGAAATGTTGAGCAGACAAACCGAACTTGATCTTGAGGTAGATTGGTGGAATCACACCTTACAGTATCGCCAAAAAGTGCTTCTGGAGCCGTGGGTATTGGGTCGTGATTATGTTCAAATTTTGCAGTCATTCAATCTGGTTGTACTAGAGAATGAAGTCCAGCCAAATACTGATCCAGATGTCATATCTATTCATTCTGAAGATGACGAACTCGAGGAAATTGAGATCAAAACCACAGTCGAAGACAAGCGTTTTGAACTTTGCTTGGCAATAATTTTTCACTTTCTCAATAACGGCTGCGAAAATATAACTTTAGTGGACCTTCTGACTAATGGTTACTTACTAGAGTTTGCACCACCCAATGGCATTGCACAGTACTTTGCTGAAGCTATCGGCGAGCTAAATGAATATGGCTTGCTTGCCATGGACAACAATGAAGTTATCTGCCCGCAGGCACTCCACCAATTAGCCATAGGAGCCAAACTTCGACTTCAGAATCTGAAACTACAAAACCAGCCATTCATGCTTAATGAGTTTCTTAAATCTCTAAAGCCACTTTACACCACCAAAATTGACCACAAAATACTCAACGGAATTATAACGTGGTTGCTAGACTACGACTTGTGTGACATTGGACTCTGGAACTACGACTCAAAGGAGAAGTCGTGGACATATGCAGGCCAAAAAACCTGAGCTCCTGCATTCAACCCCTTCGGCCATGTCCGATAAAGATAAGAATTTCACAAATCCTCATTATGTCTGTGTCTCCGATTACATGCCACATCCTCGACACAGCAATTGGCAAGCCTGCAGCCAATGTGACGTGCTCGCTCTACTATATGGCACCGGAAATCGACAATCCGGTGAATGAACTGGCTTATGAACTCGGATCTGGAACCTTGTTCGCCATGGCCAAAACCGACGCCGATGGCAGAATTAAGAACTGGGTATACGACCCACAATTGTCTAGTGAAAACCAGGCAAAAATTGGTTTGAAACAAAACCAACATACTGACTTGAAACCAGGAGTATACAAGATCAAATTCTTAACTGGCAAGTATTTTGCCCAACTTGCAGATAACTCCCGCAGTTTCTTCCCATTTGTAGAAATCTACTTCAAGATTGACAATCCTCCTGATCACCACTATCATATTCACTTTACCTTCTTTTCGAAATTTGGAATTACAGAGTATATTACCCGTGGGAAGTTGAACGGCAATGTATTAGGGTTCATAATATTTTAATAAAAGGAAATGGGTATTTTGTTGTGAATTCTTTCGGTGCACCAACATTACACTGCATTTGGTAGGTGTTCAACTCACTCTTGATCTTCAAAATCTCGAGCGGACTCCGTCAAGGTGTACTGGGTCACAGGACTTGTTGTACCTCTTGTAGAAGTCAGGAGAGAACGTTTCAGTTATGGATATTTTCCTTGAAAATTCCACCGATCTGCGTGGTTTGGAAGTTCCACTAGTCTTGAGAATTGGTGCCATGGCTGCACATGGCTTGGGCTTGGGAACCACCGGGGTCATAGAAAACTTTTCTGCCAGAATCTCAAGACGATCAAAATCAGTGAATTGCCCAATATGCTTGAGGTGGAATGGTAAACGCTTACGCTGTTGTTCAGTAGTGTTATCGAACAAGTTCTTCAACTCGTAGTTTTCCAACACGAAAGTCTCTGAATCAGGCTCGGCATCGAATACCATTGAACGTCTGATCGTGTCATATGACTTTCGTCTCGCTGGGAACTTTGGGTCTTCGAGTGCCTTAAAATCAGAATCAATGGGCCAAAGTAGCTCCTCTTGCAAGTATCGCAAATTCTCATCAATATACGCCTCGTCTGAGTTATCTTGCGAATGGCTCAGACCTTCCTCATTATTAGCTTCATTCTCGTCTTCAGCTTCATCGTTCGGAATCTGATCACGCTTCTGCTGATCTTCAATCTGATCTCTTGTCAATTCATCGTCCCGTAGAAATGGTTCCATGGTAACACCATCAGAGTCCACTGCTTTGGCACGATCGGAACCCATGGTCTCATTAAAGCTGTTCAAGACATCATCAAGAAGACTAGAGTCTGCCTCTATTGTTGGAAGCTTCGTTAGTGTCAAGTCGTAAATAGAATTGCGTACTAGCAGCTGTTCTCGCGCGGGCGGTTGCAGTACCGGAGCAACAATTGGTTCCTTTACAACTGGCAACCGTTCTTCACTTTGGCGAAATTTGGGTACCTTTGCAAAGAAAGAGATCTTTTTCTCTGTCCGTTCTTTGGTTTGTGGCTTGGACACTGGTTGCTTATCACCTTTGAATTTCTTCCAGAACAGCTTAAAGTTGGACGTGGACGTAGATGGTGACAAATTTGGTAAGGATTTGGGCTTCAGAGGCGATTTTCGAGGCAGTGGAGCCTTTGGTTCGACGGGTGACTTGGGCTTTTGTGTCTCTTCTTTTTCGTTTGTGATAATCCCTTTGGGCTTCACCGTTGGCAGAAGAGGAAGTGCCTTGTCAAAATCCTTATTGTATTTTGGAACGTTTATGGTGAATTCTTTCTTGGTCGCCGAGTCTTCAGGCTTCTTTTCTACCACGTCCTCAACAACATCCAACATGGATCTGGTAACAGTGGGCACCTTCTTTGGAGTATTATCTTTCGAGATTGGAGTCGGTGGTTCTGGAGATGACTCCAATGGCATACCCTTTATCACAGAATCAGTGATTTCCACATCTTTATCTTTAGGAGTAGACAAGAGCTCCGAATGGCTTATTTCAGATTGTTCCGATTGCACCTGTGCAATAGGGGGCATAGGAGCTTCCTTCGCTGTCAAATTAGGATTGGAACTAATTATCGAGTTCTTACTCGACTGAGGAGACGAGCCTATTATAGAGGTATCTGGAGGAGGTAATGAATTCCGGTCAGGAGAAACCTTATGCAGCCTCTTGTCATGAGGAATTGGTGAGCCCATGTCACCATACTGAGAGTTACGTTTAGACTCATTCAAAACTTCGTTGAAGGAGCTGATGGAGGAAACCGACCGTTCATGCTTGCGGATTTTATTACCAACAACGGCGACATCACCTCTAGGTGGGGTACCCTGTTCGTCATTGAGGAAGCGATCAAATGCGTCATCTTTATGAAAGTCAAAAAAGTTGGTCTTTGGAGTTTTAACAGATCCATTTGGAGAAGACTCGTAATCGTTCAGGTAACCTTCAATCAATCGGCTTACCGATTCAAATGATTTTGTACTCGAGGAAGCGGTAATGCGATCCTTAGGTGTCTTTAAATCGTTTGGCGAGGGAAGAGATGCAATTTCGTCTTTCGTGGGAACGCTTATTGTCAAGCCGTTCTTATTGGAGGAAGATGAACCTAGTTTATGTTCATCTGAGTGCCCTTTATCTGACTGCACATTTTCTGGTTCTTCAGGCACGTTATTAGCAGGCCCATCACTCGCAGACTCATCGCGATTACTTTTAGCGGCCGCATTTTCTTCATATGAATGAGTCTCATTTAACGTACGGCTGGAAGCAGAGTCGCATTCAGATTGAGAGTTTCCCGAGTTGGTATCGTCACCGTGATCCAGGTCGTTATCCAGACCCAGACCCAGACCCAGTACACCATTAGGATCTACTGGCGTAACCTCAGACTGATTTTCGGTCTCTGGTGAAGGTTCGTAAGAAGCTTCAGAAACCTCGTGCACCAGATCCATGTCCAAGTTTGCTTCCGGATACTCATGTTCTCTCAATGATTCAATGGTCACTGTGTGAGTATCAGGAATCGATGCTTTGTCTGCTTCTTCCTCCAATGTACTGAGATTTGGCTCGACTGCGCTTTCGAAAGAAGAGGATTCTTCGCTATCAACCGAGGAGAGGACAGGCTTGGAGATCGTGAAAGATTTCTGCGAGCTAACTGCATCGCTGCTTGTGATAGTGTTGACTTCAGTTTCACGGATACTCTCCAATGAGTTTGACTTGGATATATCACTCGAAGGGTCTGATTTTGGTGTTTTAGTCAAAGGGTTGCCCACGTCGTCGACAGACGTATTGATAGAAGTCTGTGGGGTGTTTGACATTGAGCGGTTGAGGGTGTAGTTTGAGAGACTAGACGGATTGGAGTCGGAATTATGGTGAGTAGGTGTGTCCACAGGGAGTTCTGCTGAAGCGATCGAGAGCGATGAGCTGTTTCTCAAGATATTGTTTGACTGAAAAGTTGGTTTGGACGCCATTCGGGGCGAATGCAGGGTGGTGGGAGTCAAATGTTGGATGTTGATATTTGTCGGGGTGTCTATTCTGTTGGAGCGGAGAGAGTGTGCGAGGTGTTGCTGCGATGCCTTTTTAACGTTTGTGAACGAGCTTGAACGAGGAACGTATGGTGGTGCTGTCTGGATTGATATGGAAGAGTTCATGGAAACCATAGATGACGAGCGAGGAATTAGGTTGCTGTTCGGATGGCTTGAGAGGCCGCCTGGGTGGCCCAGAGGTTGGTTTCTAGGGTATTGCTGACTTGGTGCAGGATATCCTTGGCCGTTGACGTGGGCGGGATGATGGCCGCGACTGGGGAATGTAGCATTAGGTGGTACACCAGTAGTTTCTGGTGCCAGGGACGGAGGAATGTAATGGTAGGAACCCTTGAGTGAGTTTGACTTTGGGTATCGAGCAGGACGGTTTTTTCTATGCGGAGAGTTTCTGGGTCGAAAAATCTCGCCATTTGGAAAATAGTAGGTGCTTCCAGCCTTGTGGAATCCGTCATCGGAGCGCTTTGCGGCGCGTGGAATAAACTTGCTATCCACGGTGAGAAGCTCGTCTGTTGATAGCGACCGAGAATTTTGCTGGGAAGACACAGAACTGCGGCGGGACATGATGAAGATGGACGTGTGTGGATTGGGTTTTTTATAAGCGAAGGTACGTCTTTTCGATTCAAGACTATAGTTGGAGCATGCGCCGACTCACACTAGGGCACGCGAGTCACCAAGGTCAATAATACCACGGCAGGAGCAAAAAGGGACTGGTGTTGGCAGAGGGTGAGACAACAGTTTAAGCCTGGATTCAAACAAGGGGCGGGGTTGTCTGCAGGAATGAAAATTGCAACACCAGAGCAAGAATTGAATTGGTGGAAGGATTGTAGTTTGCGATGGAATTGGGTAAAGTTTTTGGTATAGTTTCGTTAATGTTGTCGATAGAGAATGTGTGAAATCGTTTATGAAGCAAACTGCACAGAGCACAATTAAGGTTTGAAACGCCAATTGGATGGGCGGGAATTGGACAAAAGTAAATTTGAAACTGAAAAATGTCTATGCTTATTTTGTTGTATATACTTTTGAAAAGTTTTGGTTTGATCTTAAGAATTTCTCGGTTGTTAACAAGATTTGTTTTTATTCTTGGCTCGCTCTCATTTCTGGCAGAGCCAGCGCGCTGCACGTTCCAGCCTGAAACAGTTGACATGAACGCACTACTGGGACGATTTTGGATCACATAAGCGCACCCAGTGCACTCGTCCACTCATTCGCTGCCTTCGCTGCATTAACCATTGCGTTATCCGGAATCTTCGGATACATCTTGTCGATCTTCCGATGTCCCAAAACGTGTTGGCCATCTCCAAATACGGAAGGGACCTGCGTAAGATCTATGCAGGTGGGTGCGGCTGCAAATCGTAGCCACAAACCTGTTTGTACCAGTTGAACTTAAGCCATTAACTCATACCTGAAACCACTTGAACCAATTGCTGCTGAATCTTCATGCTCTTGATCTTTTGGTTTGCGTTTCTCATCCCACCGCTTTTGGCCCTAAATGGCCACTCCATTAGGACAAAAATGGGCACCTTGAAAAAGGTGCCGCAAATGCCCAAAGAATTAATACGATCCCGAAATACCCCAGACGGTAACCTGCGGCTTTCAGCACTGCGATTGCCGTTTGGAAACATATTTTCGTCACAAAAAGTTCCTCGCCTGAAACCGGGGTCCGAGCCGCACCTCACCAATTCCACCTCGAAAGAACCTGTGCTTACTATTACATCCAAAACTGCCTGGGTCAACGATTTCTTGATCAATTTGCGAAATAAGGGCAAGGAACACAAATTGGCAAAACCTAAGCCAACTTCCGAGCCTCATGACAATAGTAAGCTCAAATCAAAAATCACCAGCTACCAAGATTTCGAGGCAAAGGATGATCTCAAAGGATGGACCAAACTAATCACTTCCAAGGATAACAGCGAAGTAACTTCAACACACGTCCAAGAAGTTCGTATGCCCATAATGCCAACGTTTGATAGACAGGCATTTATTCGGTACTTGGTCGACACCAAAGGATTCAATGAAGCCGATCTTTCATTTTTGCGTACCAATCTCGACTATGGCTTTGCTGAAATAGACGAAGAGCTCACCAAAATCAGAAACTTGGAACGGAACCAGCTGCAAGAATGTATTTCCATTGGAGGTGAGAGTATGGGGTCAATAACTTGTATCGACAAGCTAGCGTTCTTAGGACTCATAATGCTCCTATGGTGAAAATATGACAACTTTTTCTGATGTACAATTGGTAATGTTGGTAGATTATACTTCTTTGGCAGGGTTTTCCGAATATTAGCATGGAATGATAGGTCGTTACGGTTTCATTTTCATGTTTTTGCAGGCTCGTGGCAGGCATCATTTGGCCTGTAGTCATTGTTTTGAAATATTATAGACACATCACCAGGCTTTTGTTTTGGTCATAGTGTGAATTAGTCTTTCGCATTTTGTCATAACTTTTCATTGCCTTGATTCATTAACGTATCCTTGAAAGTCACACAGCTCTTAAAATTTGTGATTGTAATTTTCTTTCACTGTTCAGACTTAGCTGCTTCGAGAACATCGATATTGGTAGCAGATAATCTCCACATTAACAACATGAACACCAGCATGTACGGGCTGAATTTTCTTGCTCCTTGTATCAAGTACTGGTCGTGGAGTGGTACCCAATCTCTCTGTTTTGTAGTAGCGAACTTTGGTTTTTTCTTTAAAAGTGCCTTCATTTCTTCGTTCTGTTGAACCTCTTCTTTAATTTGTTTCAAAAGCTCTGGTCTTTTAGTAAGATAACGAGCCATGCCCCTTGCTACTCCCAAGTCATCGTGAGCAAACACATCCCACTCATTCAAGGTGAAAAGTGCAAACATTTTAGCTGACCATTCTCCTATTCCTTTCAACGAAACTAATTCCTTCACAACTTCTTCCAATGGTGCGTCCCTGTAAAACAGCACCTTACAAAGGTTTGAATTGGGATCCGAAAATGCCTCGCTGATGCTTTGAACATAGGATATTTTCATCCTGGAAAGTCCCACTTCTCTTAGCTCATCAAAGGTAAAAGTGAGCGTTTTCAGCGGGGTTGGTTCTCCATCAAAAAGAGCTTCAAACTTGTTCATGATGGACCTTGCTGCCAGGCCCGATATCTGCTGACTCACCACGCTCGATATAAGCGAGTGCCAGTAGCTGAGTATTAGTTCTTGATCACTCTTGACAATTTCACTGCCTTCCTTTTTGTAGTGAGGAAACGTTTTGTATACTATCGAACGATATAAAGAAGGATCCTTTTTGATTATATGTCTAGCTGCCTCAATGAAGTCTTTCGTATGGTATTCGACGAAATCTTTGGGCAATTCCAAATTTTCGGGAACTTTGATGAACAGAATTGCATCTTCAAGATACGGTTTTTTGACGGTAACGGTGGTTTTTTTTGTCTTTTTGACCTTCACCGGCGAGGTAGGATCCTCCTTTACTGTGACGGTGGTTAATGTTTGCTTCCTAGTGACTACCATGGTTCTGGGAAGTATTAACTTTCTCAACATTTGTCAGCGATATTTTGCGGCCAAAGTTGAAAATGCGAAATCAGAGTTGAAATGGTTGCGAAAAGATTCAAGGTTGCAAATTATATTAAGATGAGATCACTGAGTTATAATGAGATGCAATTAGATATTTGCTAGTAGAAACAAAAACACCTCTGTTTCTCGAGCAGTCCCTCGATGGGTTGGGTGCTAACCTCTTCACCATCTAGTTCTGTTAATGCTGGATTGGCTGCTAATTCTTCAAGTACCTTGTTTGACAAAACCGGCTTGATTTCGGGCCCAGCGGTTCCCAATGTTATGTGGAGGGTCTGCTTGAGCGGTGGGTGGTCAATTGAGTTGAACTCGGAATCGTAAAATTTGGGGACTCCCACTTCGATACATACAAGATGTTTGTTCCAAAAGATGAGTTTTTGAAGCTGGATATCGCAGTAAAAATCGACCAAAACTTGCTTCTGCTTCTTGTTTTTAGGCTGTGGAGAGCCGAAAAGCCCCGCAATGCCATTCCATACCTTTTGACCTTCCTCGGTGGACGCCGAAGCAGTATGCGCAAGAGTGACATGAAACTCTTTTTGGACGAGATTTTCTGTTTTCAACAGCTCCCATAGCTCAGACGTCAGTGAACCATTCACAGTGTTTACCAAGTCTTTGGGATGGGATACTTTAATGCCGTAGTAGGTGACTTTTTTTTCTTTTTTTTTGGGTGCCTCAGCCTCCGGTTTCGGTTTACTAAATGTCTTGGTAAACGATGGTGTGTACCCCAATGCTTTTTCGAATGACTCTTGGAACTCGGTGTCTGCTACCAGTTTAATTTCCATACCAGTGATTATTCTTAATTCACTCAATATCTTTTTCGCATTTTGCAACGATGAATCTTTCCCAAGACTCAAATTGATAACATGGTCAAAATTCGAATCTGGCTCTCTTTCAACATTCAATGGCTGAAACCGACGAACAAACCCCTCCATGACACTCTCTGCAAGTTTTCTATCTTCACTAAACTTTATGGACTGGTGGTTATCGCCCCGTAATGCCACTCTTTTGTAGGTGACATTCCACAATTCTTCCTCACTGAGATCGTTCGGCACAAAATTTGCAGCCACAAACTTTATCACAACATTTGCCGGCAAATACTTGGATCGAACTTGATTCGTCTGTTTGAAAAGCTGGGCTCTTTCTCTAAATTGGTGATTGTTTCTGTCGCTGAAAACAACGTCACGGTGTCTGAGCATCGCCAAGGTTCTATCCACGAGTTTTTGCTTGCTCGACTTGCTAATATCGTCGTTCTGAACATGGCCCCATTCGGGGAAAATGCCTGTTAAAGTGGAAAACGTAGTGGTTTTACCACATCCAATAGTCGATATTGGGACTATGACATACTTGTACACCACCTCTCCAACAGATAAGGTTTTCATTTGTTCATCAAGTTTATCGTAGCTCAACAACTCCATCCCGTTGTTGGTACTCAAACCAAACTTTTCCATGAACAACTTTCTGACCTTGATGATACTGTGGTTATCATTAAACTGATCCATCAAAACCGGTTCTTTCTCAAAAAGAGCCTCGGTAAAATCAAGGTACTTGCCAATGATGTAGTTGTGTTTTTTTTGCTTTGCAACAATCTCAGGTATGGGTTCTCCACGCATGAGGGCTCTGGTAGTCTCACGGAACTGACGGTAGAGAAGATAGGGTTCTTCAAATTTGTACTTGAAGAAGAAGTCATTGCCGTTTTCTCGACATCGAATCACAAATCCTTCCACTTCTTGTCCTTCATAAGTCCCTGTTTCCGCTGCTTTGTTGAGAAAGTCCCACAACGAGTCAAAGTCGTTCTTTATAAAGTATGCTGTTGGAATAAACCCCCATTCCCGTGCAAATGCATCCACTTTATCCATTGGGTACGACTTGAATTGGATAGTGTTAAAATTGAGTCCATGCAAATAAAGCCCTGATTTGTCCTTGGTATACTCAAGAACGTGCTCTTCAAAGTCATCGTCACACAACTCGGCCACAGCGGTCACATTGAGCTTGTATAAAAGCGACCCTAAATCTTTCATACTCTTTCCGATTATCTCCAATTGAAGTTTCAATTGTCTTTCTCCCTCCACAGCATG